ACCCCGACCAATCCACCTATTTCCAAATAATCTATTCAAACGATTACGGGCCTTTATGGCATAGTGGGGTGGTGTTTTTTATCGTAGTAACCTTTTTAGTCATAATTCCATATCCAGTTGAACAATTTGAAAAATAATTTGGGAACAGACTCCATTTTGTATGTAGAATCGTATTTCAGAATAAAAAACACATCTTTCCATTTAAAATAAGAAAATGACCCCCCACTCCTCTCAAGAGAGTGAAGGGGCAAATGTCAAAAATATCGTAAAATGTGTCCCCCCGTGTACTTATTACGTCACGAAAACGTCAAAAAAAAATTTGCAGCTGTTTTTGATATATCGCATTGTAACACTTTGAAAAACTCACCCTGTATATAAAAAAACAATGATAAACAACTCAAAACTATATTCACCCTAATGAAGTGTTCAGCTTTTGATTATAATGTTAATGTTATTAAAAGAAAAATCAAAACGTTCTTTTTCGCGTCTTGGATTCGCTAGGTTTATTTTTCGTATAAATTTTTGCGCGTAGCTTCGGGGCCTCTTTATTACCGGGGCGCCGCATCGAACTACCCTACGATAGCTACGCTAATACTGTCCAGTGTTCTAAACTCTTGAAAGGAATACAACTATTTTTATATTTCCTCAATAAATTTGGTAAAGTCTATACGAAGTTACTTGGACCAGACCCAAAATAGTGGTATGGTCAATATACTACATCACACATTGAAAAATATAGCAAAATTTATACTGATTGCTCCTCGTACCGTTGGAAGCCAGACAATAAGTAGGGATGAATTGATCTGATTGGCTCCTTTTACACGTTCGATGCCAATCAACGTGGACTCGATGGATCTGATGATTGGCCATTGCCGATTTTTGATTAGCCAACATTGAACATATTGTTTCTGTTCTTTCCGCTTTGTGGGGCGATATGATTGTCGGTGTGAGAGACAGTGCAGTGCATTATCTACTCAGTTTATTCGATTAGTATATTGATTATTAATTTTAGTGGCGCCTTTTGAAATTACGCCGCCCATGTTTGACAAAGAAAAAGCCGACAATGCCGGGATTTAGTTTTTATGCTAGTCCAAGTGACTACGTATAGACTTTAATCTTAAATCCTAATCAAGACTCGTAAACTACAGGATTGCTCATTCGGACAGACCTGAACATTACGCCGAACAACAAACAGAACGACCAACCGAGCGAGCTTAAATCGAATTTTCGCATATTTCATGAACACGTATAGAATTTTTAATACCCATTTAAAAGTACCTGTCGTTTTAGTGACAAAACGTATGTCGCTTCTTGACACACAAAAAAGAGTAGGTTAGGAATTTCCTATTTGTACATGAAATTGACGTATTAGCAATCAACATTCGTTTTTGTTGGTAATTTTTTGTTTCATCTGATACGTGATTGATAAATAAGGATGAGGTTATTCTAAATGGGTACTACAAATACTATACAAACGCTTTCACGAGAAACTCGAACGTAGTTCGCCGAAGCTTCTAGCAAGCGTTCAAAGTAATGACGTCACAAGACCAACTATGGTTCGTCCTTGAATGAACAACTATATTCGTCGCGAAAATTTGGTTTTAATACAGCATATTTCAATAAGCCGTACGTTAGCCAATCTCGAAACGGTAGCAGGTCTGCGAGTGACGTTCCAATATCCATAGCTGTTAGCGGTGACGTCACTCGCAGACCTTGTTGAATTGCTTGCCATTCAAGCCGTGCTTGAGATTTTTTCGTCCATTTTAAATGTAGAAAGGGTGATCTTAACGTTTAGGAATTCGTTTTTTTGATCTATACCAGGGATGTGCCGTAGACTATGAAATCTACTTTACGTTGTTTGTCTACGTATTGTTTACATCCACTTTTTTCCATGTAGACTATATAAACTATGTAGACAATGTAGACAACAGAAAATTTGAAATTTGAGTAATTTTTTTGAAAGTTTGCATTGCATTAAATTTATATTGTATCAAATTAGACATTATCCGCAGTTTAATTAACTTCACAAAGCAAAAAACAAAACAAAGCAAAAACCAATAGCAAAAACAGAAACATAACCTTAAAGGCCTGCCAACTGACAAAAATTTTATACTTTACGCGTTGTCTACATATTTTACACGTTGTCTACATAGATTACATAGTTTACATTGTCTACGCGTTGGCTTACAGCAGACGTAGACAATCTTTGTAGATAGATGCCCATCCCTGATCTATACTATTTCAAACTCGGATAATGCATTTTACGCCAAGAGTTGAGGTCTGCGGCTGACATGAAGACGCTTTCAGCTTTCGAGCCCTATAAAAATATGTGCCAGCAGCAGTGTTGTTAAAATTAAACAGTGGTTTGGCATTGCCATTCGTGAATCGTAATAGACTGTGAGATAGGGGCTGTTTAGTGGAGTCATTTTTTTTTTGTCTGGCATTTTAAGGGCTGAATGTGGCTACTAAGCTGATAAGAATATGGGTGATTTTAATGCCGGCCTCCCGTTCGAAAATTTGCAAAAGAAAAAAATTGATTTACATGAAGAATTTTTTATTAATGATCTCAAATTTTCTAGCTTTTAAATAAAAGATTGACATTGATGAATAATTCACCCATGAAAAATATCAGATGCTTTTTAATAGCTGAAAAAATGGGGATGGGTGTCAACTTCCAAGAGAAAAGAAAAGAACCTTCTGCGTTTACTTTTTGTCTGGCAATCGAGAGAATGAAAGGTTTTGTTGTGAATAACGCTGAAAAATCGCCAGACGGTAATCACAGTTCGAAATCGAGTTTTCCGGCGAAACATTCTGTGGACGTTTCGAACAGGAGGCAGGCATTAAAACCACTTATATTCTCATCAGCTAACTAGTCACATTCATCCCTCAAAATGCCTCAGGGTCTATAATCACCGCGTCCATGGCGGTGAGAGGAAAAATGAACAGCTCAGTTGCGCGAAACTTTATTGCACTGGAACGCCTATGAACAGTCCGGGGCGCTCTAGAGCAGTTCAGCTCAGGAGTGCTTAAAACTTTGCTCTGGTGAAATGCTAAAGCCCCAGCCCGAACTGAACCATAAATGCACAAAAGCCAATGCATCTATCTGTTCCTTTCAAATCGGGGTCTTCTAACACCGGAGCGAGTAGCTATTATGAAAGGAATACAAATATTTTGGTAAATTTAGTAAACGCGGATGATGATTCCATATTTCCTACGAACTACGAACAAGAGTAGGGCCATTCCGGTATCCAAACTTCCCATGAAATCACAAACAATCACAGGGAATTTCATTGGTTAAAAATAGTCAGAAATAGTTATTTTCCTAACAAGTGCGCAAAGTGTTACTTTTCCGCACGCAAGCACAGTTATACGAACGACGCGAAGCGGAGTTCGGATACGTGTTTGCGTGCGGAAAAGACACTTTGCGCACGTGTTAGGAACAAAATTTTTCCTACGAGCTTCATATCAGGTAGGTAATAACAAAAATTTAAAAAAAAAAACGATAATTTGTTTAATAATTTTTAATTAACTTAAAAGGAACCTATGCATTTATCAAAAAATTAATAACAAAAAAAAATAACAGAAAATCCTCGTCAGAGCTGTTCATCTTAAAGCGTTTAAATTTGATGAGAAAGTTTGTAGATTTTTGCATATAAATAGAGAACAAATCTGACAATGTGTCAAAGTTAATTCATATTTAGTGTTTGTATAGATGTTGGCTGATATAGAAACAGAGGAAAAATTTGTCATCATGTGTCAAAGTCGACAGGTGCACTTATTGTTGCTTGACAATTATAATTACTTTTCGGCACTCAGTGCGGATAAGGCCTGTATCCGCACTGAGTGCGGAAAAGTGTAACTTTGAGCCCGGAAATGCGTGCGGAAAAGTACTACTTTGCGCACGCTCGTAGGAAAAATCAATTTCCGCACCGATACCTACTCCATTGACCGATACCCGTGCGGATAATGTTTTCCTTTTCCCGCACTAATTTTTTTTTTTTCGCACGGCTGTCAAAATAAAAAATTATAAATTTCTACAAATAATGTATTTAGTTATACTTATTTCCGCATGCCTGTAGAAATACTATTGCACCTAACACTTGTGAAAATAGTTATTTATGCAACAAAGTGTGTAAAGTGAACCTTTTTTCACGAATGTGAATTTTGACGCACGAGGCGAAGAAGCGTGTGACAATCACATGAGTGAAAAAAGGTGCTTTACGCACGTATTGCATACATACGTTTCCGCACTGGTTAGGTAAATAGCTATTTTGGCAAAAACGCTCTGACTGGTTTGTGAATTCTGCATTGGATTTCTTTGAGAATACTTTGTAAATGGGTACATTCAGGCGGTCCCAGCGGCTTAGTTCAGCCACTCAGCGGGAACTATATTCTGGAAACAGGGGAGCAACGTTCTCATTGGAACGAAGGTTCTGTCTTTGTCGTCCGGCATAACACTGACAATGACAGAGCAATCGGTCTATGAGAACGCTCTTCCTTGGTTTCGAGAATAAAGTCCCTGCTGAGTGGCTGAGCTTAGCCGCTGGGACCGAATGTGCCCAATGATCACAAACCATTAAGGTCTATTCACACATATCGCTTCAGTATCAGTGATGCCTATTCACAGGGGTCAATCTTATATCAGTTCAATTCAGTCAGTGTATATTTGTATTATTCTTCCGTAAATTCAGCATTAGTTCTGAACTAACTGACTGAATTCAACTGACACAACACTGACCTTGACCTTGGTGTATAGGCATCACAGATAATGATATGCCACCATTGTCTATCCGTTACTGTTAGGGACTCTGTACTCTGTAGCGAATAGATAAGATATCGGAATTCACCCTGCTACAGCACTCATTTCTATTATTGAAATCAATAGAGGAGGGACACCAATAGAGATGCTGATCAGTGTTCATTACAGAGTTACACGAGTCAACACGTATACAATTGCCTCGCGGCAGCACTATCAATAATTATTAGTTAAGGAAGAATGGTTGAATGTAATCAGTTTTATTTTCATATTCATATTTACACACAAAAATGAAATGTTCTCAATCATTATAACTAGATATTAAAATAAAAAAACACTCGAAAAAAATAAACACGAGAACCAAACAAAAACATGGCACACACGTTCCTAAAATTAAAAACTAAATAAAAATATGTTTATCTAAAAAGAATAGTTATTTATACACCAAGTGAGTTAAATGACTGTTTATTCATGAGAAAAAAGTTTAGCCCACGAGCTTTAGCGAGTGGGTTAATTTTCTTCGAATGAATAAACATTTTAACTCACGTGATGTATACAAAATTTTATACCATTTTGTGGATATTTAAAAAATAAAGTACAAGGTAAATGCCGAGAGTGAGTTAAAAATATTTCAAATCACTGAGATGTAAGATTTTTAGTTGGGCAGAGTGACTTAAAATGCTGAGAGTGAGTTAAAAACTTTTTAAGTCACTGACGTGATAAACGTCTACTTACCTTTATTGTTATGCGTTCAATAATGTCAGTTTTAAACGTCAAAATGGGATAAAAATATTTATGAGCTTGGCCCGCAAGGGCCAGTTCCTCAATAGCGAGTCACCTTCGAGTTGTTTTTAACTCCAAAGTAAGCGTGTCCAGCTGCCATGTTTACCCTGGAATTATGCTTAACCCAGGGGTTACTTGCTTTTGAGAAACCGGTTCTAAGTCTTAAAGATTGGCATTAATCAAGTCATTTATTTTTCCAACCCATTAAAGTAAAAAAATAGTATAAAAAATAAAAATAAACACAAAATAAATATATACAATACAAACAAGGCACATTTTGAAACTATTAAATATATACGTCTGCTAATAAACCAGAATATTTTTTAATGGCAAGCTTATATTACTATGTAATCAAAAGAGGAAAATAAATTGAAACATAGTCACTTGGTAATTCAATAGACAAAATGAACAATGCAATGCTGGAACATGCACAGAATGTCAAATATTCTGTACAGAACAGAACATTGGAAGTCAAGTCAACTTATCTACTATTCATGAGTTCGATTCAGTAATCTTGAAGATCTTCGTACAGGAGTATTTTCCTTGTCATTTTCATTAGTACTAATTTTTCCATCGTCAACATCAACATTGGTATTATCTATATTATTCTTTGAGAAAAGAATGGTTTTTCTTATATTTTTCTTACTTATAGTATCTTCAAACACAACCTTTTTTATTCCTGTGGATTTCCTGCCACTTACTTTCAAAATGCTCTTACTTGGCGTTAAACCGTTATTATGTTTTATAGATTGCGATAATTTCATTAAAGTTAAACCTGAAGGCGAATATTTGCAGCTGGAAGTATGCTCTGATGTTAATGCCGACAATCTGCTCCTTCTTTTACTTGTCGACGACCTTGGGGTATTTTTTGTGTCTTTTACAGGAGTCCTAACTTCAAAGTACCCACCACTGAAAACGTTTTCTTCTTGAACATCACCTTTTTGTTGTTTTGCTCTAGCTGCTTTTATCATATCTCTTATGCCAGTACGAGTTTTTAATTCCGGTTTTTTTACTTTAGTTTTCTTGACAGGTCCTTTAGGTTTCTTAGCAGCTTCTGCCGTTTCTGGCAACAACTCGCTCCAATTATTGTCCTTAAGCTTATGTAGATTCTCAAATCTCACATCCAAATTTTCAACCTTAAAAGAAAATACTTGTTAATAGTTAAAAATTTATTTTGGAAAGACATGACAGACTATTATTGTAGTAACAAGTCTTAGATTGTGTAGTGTATTGCTGCAAGGAACATTGGGAAAAACTAGGTAGAACTCATACAAAAGCATTCAAACCATGCATCAAGTTCAGGTACCTGGAACAAATGTTGAATATTAATTTCCAACCCATGTGAAGTCCTTAAAATTGGTAAAAATCAAGTCATAAGCAATTAATGATAGCTTCCTGGACAAAATCAGAAAATGTTTTGCAATCTAAAAGAAACTTAATTTTCAACAAATAGCTGAACCTTGGATGGGTTGCAAATTTATATTTAACAATAGGATGGCATTCTTAAATTTCTGTTCAAGTTTTATTAATTCTGAATCATGCTCGCCTGTAAAACGTTTTCAATTTTCAATCTACATACAACATACAAAACTTATCAAAGACATAAATGGGCCTCCAGCCATCATCTATGAATGACATAATATCCTCAGGAGATCTTCCACAATCTTGGAAAAACGCAGCTATATTCAAAAAGGGTAATAAAAAGCTAGTGAAAAACTACAGACCAGTCAGCCTCACCAATGCCTTAAGTAAATGTGCGAAAAATATCATTGCTAAGGAACTCATAAAAGTTACAAAAATGGTCAAGTAAGCCGCTTCAGGGCAGACATTATAACAATATAGATCAGCAGCACATCGATAAAAACCCAACATATGTGTTCCTAAAAAAGGGCCAGCTCCAACCTGAGACAGAAGGATTCGTCCTGGCAATACAGGATGAAGTGATAGCCACCCAAAACTATAGAAAATGTATCATATTGGTGGCTCTGCGAAAAACGACAAATGTAGAAAATGTCAACTACTTTCCAAAAAAAAAGACAACATAATATTTGGGTGTAAAATGTTAGCAGATATTATATAGGTACCGGGTGGGGCACGAAAAACTTTCCACCCAGGTTTTCTCAGGTGTTAGGTGTTTAATCAAAAATCGCTCAGACACGTCAATTTTTGTTTTTTGGGGGACACATTTTATTGGTATTTTCACCCCCTACCTGTGAATCCCTAAGTGTGGGTAACAGGTACCCCCAAAATTTCAAGTGGATGAGGGGTCGAGTGATATGTCATTTGGTAGCTATTTTCATTGAGATTATATCCCCAAAGTTTTAAGCTGCTATTATTAACCCTGCCGAAATGACGGCATGTCAAAGTTAGGATAAATGCTTTTTTTTGATAATCTAAGCTGTATAGCTTTTACCTGTGACACCTATGCGTAAGTAACAGGTAAAAACCACACAGCATTTTTCCATTGATTTTTCCTAACTTTGACAAGCCGCCATTTCAACAGGGTAAATAGCAGCAACCTGAAACTTCGGGGATATAATCTTAATGAAAATAGCTATCAAATGACGTATCACTCGACCCCCCTTTTCATTTGAAATTTTGTAGGTACCTGTCACCCCCACTTAGGGTTCACAGGTAGGGGGTGAAAATACCAATAAAATGTGTCCCCCAAAAAACAAAAATTGACGTGTCTGAGCGATTTTAGATTAAACACCTAACACCTGAGAAAACCTGGGTGGAAAGTTTTTCGTGCCCCACCCGATATATAAACTACAAACTATACTGGGACCTAAAAATTCATATGGATAAAACCCCGGATAAAACGGTTATGAACAATAGGCCAAATATACCTTTTCAGGGCAAAATAAAGAAAACGACCTTTCTAATAGACATCGCCGAGGACATCGCTGTGCCGGGTGACCATAATACCTCCAAAAAATACACTGAAAAGAAACAAAAATATCAAGAACTAGCTATAGAAGTGGAAAGAATATGGAAACAGCAACAAGTTCAAATTATTATCATCTCAGCAATGGGTATCACGCCGAATACATTCATTAAACACCTTCATCAACTGGGTCTCAATGAAAACATACACTACCAATCTCAAAAAGCCACTATACTGCAAACCTGTAATACACAAGATGCTTTCTTAACCAGAAGTGACCTTTCCTCCAATGGACTTGGTAACCGCCCATCAATTGGAGATATACCAGAGTAAAAATCGGGGGAGTCTCAATCAACTAGAAGCACAACACAAATTTCTGGACCCAAAAACAAACAAGGCAAATTAATTATGGTGGTCCAAGGGTTTTATAACGAGCTATATAGTCCAAAAACATCACTACTAAAGAAACGAATGAACAAATGTAGGTTCGGAAGTGGTGCGGTACCCAAAATAAATAGTGCTGAATTTACAGAAGTATTAATAAGAAAAGCCCTAACGATGATCATAACCACTGTGAAGTTGGAAATAGCTGGGAGAAAAGGACCTCAAACCCCCACTATGTGCCCAAAAAAAAGAGTGGATACTAATTTCATTAAACAACTATTCCATGCAGAAAAAGTAGTGAGTATCAACTTTGATTTTATTTGAAGGTATCTCGCTTTTGTTATTAGATGTATGTATAGCTGTTAATACTAATACAATGAAGAAATAAACATAAGTATCCAGTTGTTAAAATTACCTGCATATAAACCATGTCCCAAAATCCATGCAAATCCTCGCAAGTAATTTCCTTTTCTTCGTAATTCTGTGTCATGCACTGTTTGATTAAGCCACGGAACTGTTCGAATTTTTTTGAAACCAGTAACTTGGATTGGCCAATGGTCACACCAATCGACGATTGTGCTTCTTCTGGCAACTCTGGATCTAATAAATAATTCTCCCATTCGCTGCATTTCGCATTTATTCTGACGATTTCAGAGTCCAGTTTCACCATAAAGTATTTGGCTCCTGCTTGAGCACTTGTATTAGGATTGTCTGGTGTTGTAGTTATGGGATTTTTGTTCAACGATTTACGTGCTTTGAATTCCTCTCTTGCACTTCTTTTACCTAGATAAAAAATAATTAGTACATAAAATAGTGAGGAAAATAAATTAACTCACCTCTTGAAACAGTTACAAAAGGACTAATATAAGCAGCTCCTAGCAGTTCAGTATTTGCATCCTTAATATTTTCAGGAGTTTTGTTTTTACTAGTGTCTGCGCTTCGTATTCCCAGTACAGTCATTGGTGTAGTGTTAACTTTGCTAGTCCTTGTACGTTTATTTGCACTACTGTTTTTCACATTTTGAACAACAAAGTTAGTTGTAGACTTTGCCTTATTTGTTTCTCGATTAGTAGTTGTGGGTTCATTTTTCAATCCAGTCTTGGGTGTAGTTTGGGATTTACTGTTTTTAACTGTGCTAGAACTTGTGCAAGTTTTTGATGCATTTAATCCTAATTTGGAACGTTTATTTGCACTACTGTTTTTCACATTTTGAGCGACAAAGTTAGGTGTAGTCTTTGCCTTATTTGGTTCTCGATTAGTATTTGTGGGTTCATTTTTCAATCCAGTCTTGGGTGCAGTTTGGGATTTACTATTTTTAACTGTGCTAGAATTTGTGCAAGTTTTTGATGCATTTAATCCTAATTTGGAATGTTTATCTGCACTACTGTTTTTCACATTCTGAGCGACAAAGTTGGGTGTAGTCTTTGCCTTATTTGGTTCTCGATTAATAGTTGTGGGTTCATTTTTTAATCCAGTCTTGGGTGTAGTTTGGGATTTACTATTTTCAACTGTGCTAGTCTTTTTGGTTTTCGATTCTAACTTGTTAGGCTTATTGGAACCACTAACATATTTTCCAATTGGTATAGGTGCAGGTTTTGGTGTGTTCTTAGCCTTATTTTGTTCCAAACTACTACTACTTGTACTCTCAATTTTGGCTCTAACATTAGCTCTGGTATTGTAAGCAGATGGTCCAGGAGGTTTATCAATCATTTTTGCATTTCTTGTTGGTTGTTTATTGCTCTTGGATCCTTCTGCGGGTTTTATGGTGGCGCTTCTAGTTTTGACAATATTTGTGTTACTTCCTGATGAATTTGTATTTTTTACAAGAGTCTTTTGCCCTATTCCATCTACAGTATTCTTATTTCTTACTGATTCGGATCTATATGAAGCTTTTTGAAATTTGTTACTTGGTTTGGATGCATTACTTAAAGCCTATGAAAATTATTTCATTATGTTAAATAATCACAAATATAAATATAGTGAGCTTACCTTGCTAAGATTACTTTGACACCTAAATTCTATTGGCTTAACGCCACTGGGAGCCCTAAATTTGTGATTTTCCGGCGCAAATTGTGATTTTTTAATAAGTTGGCCCTTGATCATCTTATTCACATTTTCTAAATTTATTGACAAACTGGATTCTATATGTGCAACTTTAAATATTGGTTTTTGTTTTGCTTTCTCCATTTGTTTTTCTTTAGCTTTTTTCACTTTCCATTCTTCTAACAATTTCAGCCTATTCGTATCAGCTACCCTCGGGGTTCTTTTAGGTGCAGCATTCTGTGAAGCTTTTTTCTCGACGAGTGGGGTACAATAAGGGCTCATATCGTCGTCGATATTTCGTCGGGCGAGAAGATGCTGGGCTCTTATTGTTTTTCGTTTTTCTGCCTTTTCTTGTTTGTTAATGTTATTTGAGGGTTTGAGTTTGGTCGTCCTATGCATTTCATTGTATCTCATTTTCAAGTAATCTGATAAATCCATTTTTATGAAGTTGTGTCTGTGAATAAATGCTTCCCAGCCCAATTCCTAGTCTTAGTATCCACACACTCCACACTTTCCAATACACTTTAAGTATGGCAATTTAGCAGTTATCACTTAACGAGTCACTTAATTTTAATCATTGGAAATTCAACTTGGGATTTTATGTTGGATTTATTGCAACGCAATTCAATAAATGATGGGGTTGGAATCAAGAAAGCTCACAATCACAGGCAGTTGAGGCAGTTGCATCTCAGTTAAATTTCAAAAATGACACAACTGACACTGATTACCGTTGGTAATTTATGCGATGTTGCCATGGCGATTTCGGATAACGGCTATGTTCCGATATCAACTGTCAGTACTGAATTTACTGGACGCCGTTCCGATATTATTTTCAGTACACTGGATTCAGTACTGAGTACTGAGCCGCTTTTCAGTATGAGAGTGTGATGCTCGGAGCTACTCAGAGCGTTGAGCCCCCCACCTAAAGCTACATCCTCAATCAATCTGCTAGCGAAGTGGCACTTCGGCACGCGTGCTGGGAAATTGATACCCATCCTCAATGCTGTCAATTTTCAGTCTGCTGTGCGTGTAGTACGGTCACGAACCGTGCGTTCGGTATTTTGATCTGAGTACTCCGAGCGTAAATTTACCGTTCGTTTATTTAAAAAGTGTACACGGTGCAGGCTCATTCACGTTCGTTTATTGAAATTTGGAGCCCTCTGATACAGCGTTTAACTGCCCTGTGTGGTCGCTGGTCACGTGATTACAGCTCTGCTCTGCACGCTCGGCTCTTCGAGCAAAATACCGAACGCAAGGATAACCTGAATTATTTTTAACCGTACTCCGCATGACAGAAGTCGGCACGCATCAAAATAGCTTGCAGCTTGCAAGCTTGCACTTCAGAGTCGGCGTGCATGCTAGCACGGAATTGAATTGAGGATGCCAACGTTAAACAACATTATCCTAGCATGCGTGCCGAAGTGCCACTTCGCTACCAGATTGATTGAGGATGGGCCTTAAACGTACGGACAAACGTCACGCGTCATGAAACTGGAACGGTACAAATCTAGTGCGTGGCGCTCCAGGGGTGCTCTAGAGCGCGCCAATGTGCATACTGGAAAGCAGCTCTGCTGAATGACCACAAGAGTACGCTGTTGAAAACGGAACGGCAAATGACAGTAAAATCCGCACAGTAAGTTCAGTACTGGCAGTTGATATCGAAACATAGCCGACGTTGAACGTGACGCATTCACAGTACACCACTAGTGTCGAGTTTCGCTATTGGAGCACTCTTAAGTACTCCGAATTACTCCAACCATTGCAATGGTATAACACCATAGCCCTTTCAAAACTGTTTTGAACCAATGTCAAAAAAATGACGTGGTGGGGGTGTTTGAGATTCTATACAGGCCTTATGGGCGGTTACACACGGACGTGGATGTCTTAATACATATACGTGCATACATCAACGCGCAACCAAGAACCTGCATGGCGTTTTTGTACAGACGCTCGCACAAAACTGCAGTCTTGCTATTTTTGCTACAGTGTTCCGAGTGTGCATACAAAATTGCACATTCAAAAACGCGACGGTATTTTGCATACACATTGATGTTTTTGTTTGCACGTTCATGTATGTGCGTACATGTTTTCAGACATCCACGTCCGTGTGTAACCGCCTTTGAGAAGAAGCTAAGTATGTATTATCTTTGCAAATGAACATCCTAATATTTTCAGGTACTTTTTATGACATCAGATTGACAATCGCAAATAATAATTAGGTAATTTTTATTAATGGAGAAATCGCCGCGTCGACCTTTAATCACAATCCACTCTGTCTTTAATGGCCGTTTCCGCCGTTTGCACCCAAGGAGAATACACACTCAAGGAGTGCTTATTGGCCCTTATCGGCCACGTTTTTGGTAATCGCCGCCATACGTGTTTTCAACCATTGCCGACGTCATAACTAAGTCATCTGGGTTGCGTTTAAAAATAGCACTCTGAATGTGAGAGTGACCCTAGAGTAACTCTAAACCATTCATGCTTACTCGTAGTGTTAACGCTGGAATCGTTCAGAAATCGAGAGTTGACGTGCCCAGAGTGCGCCCAAATTACCCCACTCGGGGACTGGGTTGAAAAACCGGGTTTGACGTTGACATTTAGGGCAACACCCCAATTACGTTCAGAAAAGGCGCACCCAGAGTGCACTCCAAGTGATGACGTCAGAACACTCTGACAAACAACTACTCTACCTTCACACTCCATTTCTAAACGCACTCCAGCTGTTGAAACAGCCTACGTCAAGGCGAGAAACGCCATACGGCTTACGTCACAACTGGTTGTTTGGCGCGGGGGGTAGGGGGGATTTGTTACACACAGGCCTTATGAGGATAAGCCATCCTGTAGTAGTAGTAGTGTCTATCATCCTTGACAATATGCAAGCATAAATATAGTAACACCATCCATGATTAAAAATTTCAGTTAAATTTAATCTCCGGTTAAATTCAAAGTTGGTGTCAAATGATAGTTCATAAAAATTTAAGACAGGAATGTAAAATCGGTTTTCGTCTAAAATTAACCGTTTAGGTTTTACAGCCTGTCAAAGTTGCAAAAAGTCAATTTTCATCTGTCAATATTTCCAAAACAGTTAAACTTAGGTATAGGGTATATCACATGAATTCTGCTCAGAATTTTACGTAGAATCCAAGTATGCAATAACATACAGTGTGTTCCATTTAAAATTCTGGTTTTGAAGTCGGTGCAGCACTTTTGGGATACCCTGTATAAATAAAACTCAAATAATTGACAACATTGCTTAAAACCAAGAAACTTTTGTATTTATATTTTTTTTGTACACCCTGTAGTTTCTAAGAAAAGACATAGGCCCCTAATAAAATGCCCACCCTGTACACTTACTTCACAGAGCGGGTGGGTGAGTACAAATGCAAATGAATAATACATAAAATGTAAGTTTGATGCTTCTTGAAGTTTGAACCATCAGTTTTGTCTTTTTGGGTCGGGTTTGGGTAAACGTCTCAAGAAACTTTTTTCTCGGTAACTTAGATTAGACTTTTCAGTATCTACCTACTTCTAAGTATCTGAAATACTTTTTGGATTCCAAGATACTTTTTTAAGATACAAGTTACAGATCCTTTTGAAAAGTAACTAAGATACTAGATACTTTTGCCAAAAAATAAAAAGTATTGATACAGTATCTTAGATACCTACTGTAAAGTAACTAAAGATACTTTTTCCTGACAGCTCTGTTACAAGCATAGCCTGTATCGCAAGCATCCCATCGAGATTTGCGGGTGACGTCACCACATACCTGCTGATAGCAGTGACGTCACTCACAGGTCCTGCCAATGCTCGACAATTGTTGTACACAATTTTCCTTTTCTTCCATTCTCTGAATTCATTCTTATTAACTTCTGTTTCTAATATATATAGGTACCTCATATTTAGTTAAAGTAGCAATAGTAGCATCTCAATTACTATTTAGGTACCTACCTATAACATTTTTCTCACTTCCGGTTTACTTAATAATCTCTGATAGTGCGATACTGAGTGAGATTGCCAAGACTGCCCTCTTGGAGTTTTGGACATGGAGGACTTCCATCTCGGCTCCCATGATATTATAAGATCTATTAGAAATTCCTTCTTTTGTGAATCTACAAAACTCCGCCGGATGACGTCCTCACTATCAGCAGCTTATAGTAGTGACGTCACCCGCAGACCTCCATGGATTGCTTGGAATTGACTGTGCTTATGAGTTGATTTTTTTCTCGATTTTAAATGTAGTGGTTTCAACGTGCAGAAATTCCGTTTTCTTTGACTTATGTCTAGTGTTGTAAACTCGGCTAACAAAAGTTGAGGTCTGCGGATCAAATCAATTATATTTGACGATTTTACCAATTCCCGCATCCAAACATAAACGTTTTTTTATTTTTTTTAACAAAAACCACAACGTGATAACACAACAACTTTGATATTTAGTTTCCACGTTTCACTTCTGCACATGCTTAATACTCTAAAAATTCTCTCTCCGAGGTGGAACTTTTGAAGTGAACTCCATTTACTCCACTCCGTATAGTCGAACGCTGATGGAGTCATCCCTAATACGCAAAAAGCAATACCCAAACGGCTGGAGTGCGAATAGAGTCTCTCGGAGTAGTCGGAGTGAGCAAGCCGAACCCACCTCTAATATCCTCTAATGGTTTTGGTAACACTGATGACTGAGTGCAATAAATACGGCATGGGAACAAGCAGTGCATGTTTTTGTTTTTCGTTGGAAAATCAGGGCAACCATTATTGCTCTGGAACTGGTTGTGTGTCAGTGTAGCACTTGTTTGGCCAATGGAAAACGCTTTTTGAAAAGGACCAACGAATATAACGTCAGAAGTCAGAACCAGAACAAAAAACAAAAACAAAAAACAAGACAGAAGTAAACAACAAACACACATTTGACCCATTCCCCATCCATACAATACCAAAAAACCTATTGATTTAAAATTAAAAAATAATTGGCATAAAATCCAATTCACCATAACGAATGTAAAAGATAAGGTAAGATTGACTGGTTTTAATCGCTCAAGTAAAATTATCTTCACGGCGATTCAAGATTCAACATCCAGATATTTTTGTAACTTTCTATTATTGCTTCTAGAGTGAAGTGATCACATTATGGCTTCGCATCTACAAGGTGGCAGAGTAGACTTTTCCCTAATTCAAACCTCAGCGAGAAATAATTTGATAGAACTGCTAGAAAAATGTCCTGGAACCAAAGCCATTGTTTGGGACAACTCGTTAGCAGGCCCAGTGGGTTTAGTAGCAGAATATATAATGCTCAGAGAATATTCTGTTAAAAATATGTTTCCTTTACGACCTATACCATTGCCTTCCACTGAAGTTGATCATGTTATATTCATTGCTAGACCAAAATTGCATTTGATGGATTATATTGGTGATTTTTGCATTCCATTTGCTACAAAAACAAATATTAAGCAATTAATTTTTAGCCAAAAATGTTAAAGATGATTCCAAAGACAGACGCAACTCAAAAAAACAATATCACTTATTTTTTGTACCCAAAAAAAGTTTACTATGTGAAGAAGCCCTCAAACACCAAGGTGTATTTGGAAACATGATATTTATAGAAGAATTCAAATGCCAACTATTTCCATTCGATTCTGATGTGGTATCAATGGAAATTGCAGAAGTTTTTAGAGAATGCACCATCGAAAACGATCCAACTTACATATACCAAACAGCTCAGGCTATAATATTTTTACAAAAATTATACGGACCTATTCCCAGGGTTTGGGGCAAAGGTATTGCAGCCAAACAAGTTTGGGATTTAGTTTCAAGACTTCAAAGGGAAAAAGATAATAATGAGGAAACTGCGTCCAATCAAACTTGTAGTATTGATCAAATTATGTTAATTGATAGGTCAGTTGATTTGATTACTCCGTTGGCTACACAACTTACTTATGAAGGTATGGTTAACAAGTAGTTATTTTTTTGGGTCATGCTATAAATAATTTTAGGTTTAATTGATGAAATATTTGGTATTAACAATGCCACAGCGAATTTTCCTATAGACAATTTCTTAAGTACTGAAGAAAGATCTACAGAATCACTTTCAGAGGACAAGAAACAAGTCATACTTAATTCAGCTGATAAATCATTTGCTGATATTAGAGATAAAAGTTTTAATGCAGTACCATTGTATCTAGCAAAACAAGCTAAAAGTATAACAGCCCAACAGGAGAACATTCAAGATAAATCCGTTCAAGAAATGAAACTTTATGTTAATAGGTTGCCCCAAATTTTAGCCAAGAAAAAACAACTAGCCTTACATACTTCTATAGCAGAATGTATTAAAGAACATACAGATCAATACGACTTTTTTGATACCTTAAAGGCAGAACAAGAGTTTCTCAGTTGCTTTGAAGTTGACAAACCTAGTCCATATATAGAAGAACTTATGGCACATGGAAAACCTTTAATTCAAGTTTTAAGACTGATTTGTTTACAGTGCGTTTGTTCTTCAGGGTTAAAACCCAAAGTTATGGAAGGATATAAAAGAGAATTGGTTCAGGTTTATGGTTTGGAAGCCCTTTTAGCTATTACCAAGCTGGAAAAAGTTGGACTCTTGAAATTACAATCTGGTACCAGACAGTATACAGTTTTGAGAAAAGTAAGTTAGGGTTACTAGTCTGATTATAATGCCTTTGCTATATCTAGGACCTTTAGCAGTAATGCAAAGCCTCTTCTGAAATGTCAAAGACTCAAAATAACCGGAAATAAACCACTATTAGGAACCCGACTATAAATGAACACAAAATCAGAGATCATTCTAGTAGGTGAAAAACATTATGGAGAATAAAATTCAGTTGTTGTTCAATTTTTGGAAATACCTTGTGTATCTCTTCATATAAGGTTACATGGAATAGAGCCCAAATTGGATGCAGATTCCTAAAAATACTGCTATAATTAATAACTGATAAAAGCTCATCATATGCAGAAAATTTCAATCAACTGTAGACTGTAGAGTAAATCAGAATCTCCTTCCCTTTAAACCCCTTATCATCAGCTCTGTTGGTCTCACCCGAGCTTTCACCTCTTTAATAATTTATTGTGTACTGACGATTTTAAAATTTTTAACTGTATTGACTCAGCTCACACGGTGAGTCAGAACTGCTATGGGATGACCTTCTGAGGTTTCACGATTTGTGTGAAAGAAAAATAATGGTCATTGAATGTTGAGAGATGTTATTACATCCAGATTTATGAGAAGCATGTGTTCCATATTTGATCATATATAATTGTCATTTTCTCATCGTATAAATATACTGTTATGTTGTCATAGGGCTGTGAATGCTCATCTACTTATCCATAAATTGAGCCAGTGATCACCATATTTATATTGGCAACTATATCATCATCATCAATTATAGTTGTTCTAAACTAAATCCGTTGCACGTCATTAGTGACACCAACTGCACTTATATCTATTTTGCTAGTGGACTCATTGTGACGGATTTAGTTATGGATCAACTATAGTTTAAATTTTCCTAGTAGATTTACTTGAATGTCATAGATACAGCGCCGGCGTTATTGGTTCAACTTACGACTCCCTTGAAAAAATGATAGAATATATTTTTAGACTTTAAAATTAGTAATGGAAGACACTTCGGAAATAAATCCAACTGATATTTGTTACGTGCATAGCATTTATGCTCCTCTCAGTGTACGTTTAGCTGAACAAGTTACTAAGAATGGAGGCTGGAAGCAATTGCATGACGTTTTGGGCTTATTACCTGGTAAACGAGTTGATATTATTCAAACATACATGCTTTGAAACTTTTTTCTAGGTCCTACTCTAGACGAATCGCCTTCAATAGCCTCAAACGTTATTCAAAATTATGATACTCCGAAAGTAGTACTAGTTTTCTTTATAGGAGGATGTACTTTTGCTGAGGTATTTTCTCCTTTTTTTTTAATTATTTATAGTTTTTTTAAGTGGGTTTATGTCTTTTAGATTTCAGCTTTAAGATTCTTATCCCAGCAAGAAGATTCTAATGTAGAATTTGTGATAGCCACTACTAAACTAATAAACGGAAATACCTTTCTTAAGTCCATAATACAAAGTTAAATTTAAATGCTTTATATGTTTCTCGCTTATATTTTATTATTGTTTAGGCTTTTTTGATGCTTCATTGCAATATTTATTATTATATTGTTTTATCTTACCAAAAGTTTGGCTTCTTCATTTACCTCCAGTCCGAGCTCCAGTCCTTTAACCCTCAATAAAAATTCATAATACATACATATAATTCATGAATAAATAAATAATACATCTTCAAACCAACAACAATTATTATGTTTAGTGCCATATTACTATACTTAATTTAACAAATAGAAAAAGCAATGATCGTTAAGAAATATTAACAACAATAAAATTAAATTATTTACAACATTAAGTTTGTGCTTCAATTAATTGAGAGAGCTATGTTTTCAAACTCGAAATGAAAAATATATAGAGAAGAATATTGTACAAACTAAAATTTAAAAATATCACGAATTACAAATCAATTAGTTATTTCAAAAAGATCTTTTAAAATATTTTGGTCCATTTGCTATCTGCCCAGAATATTTTTTTCAGCTTCTTCGATGACTTGCAGCAGCCTCTGACGCGATTTTTTATTATTCTGACAAGCGCAACTTACTAAACCAAACAAATGCTTGGAAGAATATTCCTGAATAAAAGACTCATTAATATCAAATACAATGTGGCTTCTAAATATTTACCTTGTGCTCTCTTATCCATTTCTCTAACTCCATCTCAGGCAAATAAAAAGCCCTAACATAATTCTCCACATATTCTTTATGAGGCACTGGTCTCAGCGAGGAGATTTTTTCAAATTTTGACAAAAATTGTGTGAAATCTAGTTGCATTAACGCCCTGCCACCGTTCGAACATTTTTTAGCATCAGAGAAACTAGGGAATATATTATTTCATGCACCTAAATTAATTAATTTTAAGTCAATGCTTACCCTTGTACTAAAGTGTGAGTTACAATATGGGCAATACTCTCCCACAACACCCTGTAGACATCATTGGATATAGGAACCTTATGAGCCACTTCTTCTAATCTTAATCTAAATATTTGAACTTCCTGTAAATATATAATTTATTATAAGAGCTTATCGCAAATTCATATTTTTACCCTCAAAATCATATCAATATAACTGTTGTGCTGAGACATTACTTCTTTCACTTCCCAATTAATTTTCGACATCGATAATAAAATTTGTCTTAAATCGAAGGCTTGTGCAACTACCGCCATGTATACTGGTTTTCGTAAATGAGACACACTTGCGATATTCTAAAATATTGATAAAAATATTAAATTATCGGTTGGAGTAGCGGGAGTAAATTTATTTATTTATGTTCATGTGCACTCTACAGAACAAATTTCTAGATGGTACACTGAAGAAATAAACCCAAATAATAATGTACAAATTTACAACTTACTAAAAATATACAGAATACAGCTTTCATAATTATGTACCTACTGATTTCTCTCTTTTTATTACATTCAGAGGGGTATTGAAAAGATCTACATGGGAAAAGTCCAGATTGTAATAATTAGTGACTAAACCCAATTCTGACCATAGTTAGTTTAATGCACAGGTTGGAAAAAGAGTTGCCTTGGTCGGGTTCTTCTTCCAGGAACCAGAAATCCAATTTCTGATAGAAGTTCGGGCGAGTTGATAATGTTCTGCAGAATTTTGTAGAGAAAAATAAGCTGGGCATTTTTGCCTCGATTCTCAAGGCTGGGTATGCCGCAGCTGTAGACAAGTCTCATACTCAAGGTTCTGGTAAGGAAATCTCAGTTTGCAGAGCAGGTATTTGGCAAATTTATTTTGCTCTTCTTCTGTCCTTATAATGTGGCATACGTAACTTGGAGTCCAAATTGGGTTGCAGTATTCCGGAGGGGATCGATTGAGACTGTAATAATATAGACAGATAATGGACTCCGTATCCCATCTTATGTCTCTGGTGTTTCGTTTGATGAAACCTAGAAGTCTAGAACTTTATGACTACGTAGTCGATGTGTTTGTTGAAAGACAGGTCTTTTTCCAGGATGACTCCTAGGTCTCTGAAGGTGCATGTCGACTGTTTCCATTTTGGCGTTGTAGGCAATATAAGATTTACGGTCTTGTGAAAAATCATGTGTTTTTACTTAGTAACATTAAGTTTGAAAAAATTTGAGTTTCACCAACCTGTCCAAATCCGGCTGGATAGAGGTAGAGTGCCCGACCACAACTGCAAAAAACTTCAAGTTGACAGCGCAGAGGGCTGATTGGAAGGATTGGATGACGTCATTTATGAAAAGAACAAACAGAATCGGTCCGATGTGCGATCCCTGAGGGACCCTGAATGAAACTATGAACTCGTGAAATACTGCACCACACACACCAACTCTTTGACATCTTCCAGTTAAGTACGATTCTATAATTTTCGAGAAACATGCATCAAAGCCCATATCTGAGAGTTTTTTTTAGTAACAACTTATGGCACACACTATTAGAGGCCTTTGAAATGTCTGTGAAGATCTCATCCACCTGTTTTCCCGATTTCAAAGCTTCCGTTAGGAAGTCTTGGTAGACAACAAGATTTGTAGCAGTGGATTTTCCTTTGCAGAAACTGTGCTGTTCGTTAGCAATGTAGTTACCAAAGCATGAATACACATCGTCTGTTGAAATGCATTCCATAATTTTAGGAATGTGCTATAGTAGAGTCATGCCTCTATAATTATTCACATCAGTGCTTCTATTTCGTGATAAGTGGATAGGGAAAAGTGTTGAGATTTTCCAACTTCTGGGAAAAATGCCAGTATCGGACGAAAGTTGGAAAATATGTTTCAGAGGTCCTATTAGAGACGTGCAACAGCCTTTAAGAAACAATGGAGGGAGATCATTCAGTCCAGGACTCTTTGAGGCATCGAGATCCACAATTTTCTCTGTATTTCCTCGACTGTGAAGAGATGATCGCAGACATATGTTCCAAAAGGGACTGAGTACTCTTCTTTGATCTCAACATCCTTGTGCTCAGAGTAACAATTCTTGAAGTGTGTGGCAAAGAGTTCAGCGATCTGTTTACAGTTCAAAGAATGGATATTGTTAAAGTACATCGGATTCGGCAAGCCTGCATCTCTCTTCAACGATCTTATAAGTGACCAGAAGTGTATCACATTTGATGGAATAAAATGCTGAGCTTTGGTAACATGTAACAGGTAGGACATGTCACTATGGAACTTCACGTCTTTCCAGGCTTCAGAGTAAGCTTCATAGTCCGTTTGCCGTCTTGATCTTCTAACGTCTTACAGAGTCGATTTCTATGTGCAATTAACTTTTTTAGTTCAGAGTTGAACCAATTGGAATATTTGTCGACCCTGATGGTTTTTTTAGGAACATACTGATTAATTCCTTGCTGTATAACTTATGACAAACTAAGCTCCAAAGATGGATGTATATCAAATACCCTACACAGTGGAAACTCACTGGTTTTGGTCACAAGTAGAGGAAGTTCAGTTGCGAAAATAAGATCCAAAGATCTATTGTAGCTGTTCTTCACATTGTTAAGTTGCTGAAGTTTGCTCGGTCAAGGAGTGAGTAAATTCCGGCACCAGAAATCGTCCTCTGTGATCCAGGTGACATTGGAAAGATTGAAGTCGCCAAATATGATAAAATTGGCATTTGAATATTTGTTTTTCAATTCACATACTGTTACATATGACCTATAAGTCATCTCAGGGTAACTAGAAGGGTTGTCTGCTGATCCGATCACCACCTTACAACTGTGATAGATACAGTGCATCCATATTTGCTCACATTCAATGAAGTTTGCAGTCGGCATAACCGAAGACTTAACCATCAAACCCCCTCCTCGATCCATGTTGGTTGCTGCATAATCCAAAGTGTTTTTCTTCTTAGGCCACCATATTTTGGTAGTAAAAATTAAGAGAAGGCAAGATGATCTTAGGCTGTGGGTTTCCATTGAGGGTTGTGAGAGTGCCATTGACCCCGCCCAGGTTGCCTACCTCTGGAAAATCTAGTCTGATGAGTGGCTGAAGGTGTGAGACGAAAGAAATGAAATTTGTAAATCTCTATATTCAGGGGCTAAATACTGGCATTGAGCAGTATGTCTTCTAATTTTTTATCCGTTTCAACTTTATAGTTTTTGTATTCGCCAGATATAGATGAAAATTTTTGTTTGTCACTGAAATTGGTGGTCAGATCCAAAGGTATCTGCTAAGTATTTTGTGAAATTAGCCTCACTGTGGTCGAGACTTTTCGGACAAAAACTGCTGTTTTGGGCACTAGCTCTGCAGCAGAAATGATTATGAAACAATGGAATAAAAAACAATACTACTGATGTTATTGATCAAGACCTTTTTTTATTTCTTTAGGCAACGTTTCGATGAAAAAACCCATCATTTTCAAGGTCCAAAATATCAAAGGTGCAGAATTTAATGTACAGGCAGGACACCTAACTTAAATCAAACCAAACATAGGCATCAAGACGAATGTAATTGGGATATAATATATTTCGGTTAGATTCGTTCTGAATATGGAGCACACTCATCCTAGATTTTCATAAACTATCATTTGACACTAATTTTGAATTTAACCAAATATTAAAAAGGACCCCGCAATATTTAAATGGAAATTGGTTACCCGTGATATTTGGATGAAATTTAAATATATTATTGGGGATGCCGTAAGCAACATTTTTTACCATGAGCACAACCCTGTATATATGACAGGTAAGGCGTGGTTAGCTGTCAAATATTGGAATCTTGAATCCAAGAGCATAGTAACTATGGCAGATTTTGATGAACAAAAAATCTATTTCTACTAAGTCGACCAAGTTAAGTCGAAAAATGTCTACCATTTTAACACCTGTCAAAACCCTGCCAAACGGCAGCACTCATCTTTTCCAGTTTTCAATATTTTATGTTGTCATTTGACATTTTTAACTTATAAGTAAATTCTAAATTCAAAAATTGAAAAAAAAATGACAGAACTCTCAAAACTTGTCATTTATTTTAGTAGAAAAAAATACTCTAATCTGGTCCTTTCTCGTTTTAAGGTAGTTTATTGGTGATAAAACATTGAACAAAGTTCATGCACGTCACATTTTGACAGCTATCATTTTTTTTTCAATTGCTGAATTTAGAATTTACATATAAGTTAAAAATGTCAAATAACAACATAAAATATTGAAAACTGGAAAAGATGAGTGCTGCCGTTTGGCAGGGTTTTGACAAGTGTTAAAACGGTTGACATTTTTCGACTTAACTTGGTCGACTTAGTAGAAATAGATTTTTTGTTCATCAAAATCTGCCATAGTTACTCTGCTTTTGGATTCAAGATTCCAATATTTGACAGCTAACCACGCCTCACCTGTCGTATATACAGGGTTGTGCCCATGGGAAAAAATGTTGCTTACAGCATCCCCAATAATATATTTAAATTTCATCCAAATATCACGGGTAACCAATTTCCATTTAAATATTGCGGGGTCCTTTAACCGGAATTTCTGATCATGGATTAAATTCAAAGTTGGTATCAAAGATAGTTTATAAAAAAAAAAAAAGTAAGATCGGCTTTCCTCTAAAATTAACTGTTTAGGTTTTACAGCCTGTCAAAGTTGCAAAAAGGTCAATTTTCAACTGTCAATATTTCCAAAACAGTTGAACTTAAAATCTGTTTCTTTTTAAAGATAAAAGTCAAAATATACTTTATTTTCTACTTTACTATTATAGATCCATAATACCTAGGAAACGAAATACGTTAACACACCTACCCAACTAGCATCAAAGTTATAGAAACCCTCACTGATCGACACTGCTACTATGATTGGGTAAAAAAATAGTAATTGGTACCAAATAACTTACTATGAAGTTTAAACCTTTCGTAAGTTAGAAGAATTAGTGGAACTTCCGTAACACTTACCCAATTTGGTGACTATATGGTGTCATTACATTGTGGTAAGTTTCAGGGTTGCTGGAACCGTGGGGCGTCAAGGTTTAGCTACTTATTCGACACCAAAACTTTAAAGTAACAAATAATTGTCACCGTAACGTGAAAAAATCAACTTTTGAGTAGGCGTGACTACTAAGTGTTTTTGAAGGTAACCACAACCGCAGAGGGACAATAGAAAACACTTTAGAGTTCGCCACTTCCAAGTAACATTGTAAGGTAACGGATTCGTGAACGCCACTTATGTATAGGTAAATTCTACTTTAACGAATCTAGAGGCAACTTCAACGTAGCATTGAATAATTTACGCCATGTTTTATAGAAAATTTAAGACGCCATTTTTTGGAAGAACTTAATTTTGTATAAAAGTAGAAAATTCACGCCTTATATTATCTGTTTACTAATAAAAACCTTGGACTTTTATGATTTCTAATTAAAATGGACCTATTAAAAGTGCTAACTCCTTTGAATAAATAATTTTGTATTTTAGTATATCTTCTATTTTAAATATTTTTATCATCAAAATGTTTTAGTTTGAGGGCGCGTTGTTATTTTCAGATCTAGCATACTTAATTTTCACAGAAAAATTTCACTCGTTTGGGTTTTAGCTGCTTGGGTACGAAAATCAAAGCCTTTCAATATTCATATAGGTACGTAATAATGATCAAGTAAACAAAATAAAGGTGGACATATCGTGAACTTAAAGTACTGGCTGGATGAACGGTAACATAATATACATAATTTTAGTTGAAAGAGAGAGAAAGATCAAATAAATATCTTCAAGGTTGAAGGCGCATGGGAAAAAGTCCCATTTTGGTTGATATTACCACACATTTACGGTTTCACAACGTTCCCGAAACGGTCTCGGGACGTAAATTAACAGTTCCGAGGACGATCCAGGCACGTAAACCTTACTGCAAAATCATTCCCCATTTTGGTAACAACGTGGTGAAGAAACGGTGCCTAAACGGTTCCCGATACTAGTAACGCCAACTTTAAAGTTCTCTTTGTAGTCGAGGATACGTAGCGGCGACTAAAATTGCAGGTTGGGATATAACAACCTGATCCATAACGCCCGCTTTTGCGGGCGTTATGATCTATAACGCCCGCTTATAATACCTTAAGGTGTTTTTGTTGTTGTTGTTCTATTAATTTGCACTTTACCCTAGGCAGCCACTAAATGTCTGACTGAAAATAATTTTCGGTCTAGCCAGGATTCGAACCCGGTCTACCATCAATGTTTCCCATGTAGTCCAGCGCGTTAACCCACAGGACCACCACCGTTGCCTTACCTTATGAGATGTTTATAGATATATTAATTTATTTCGTTTCTATGTACAGGTCGCAGGTACAGGTACAGGTCACAGGTGCAGGTACATGTCAAAATACAAAACAATATTCTGTCACGCAAGTTTAACTGATTTTGTTAATAACAAATTGATGAAAAAACATTGTGTTGAGTAGAAAATAAAGCATTGTATGCACCACGGGGATTTCAAGATTATAATGCCCTTCAGGCGAAATATATCCCTCGGGCCATAGGCCCTCGGGCTAGTTTCGCCTTCGGGCATTATAATCTACATAATCCCCTTGGTACATAAATAGCTATTATGTATAGGGTATATCACATGAAATCTGGTCAGAATTTTACATAGAATCCAAATATGCAATCGCATATGTCTGGCAAGTGGTAACTTGATAGAGACGAAAGGGGGAAGAAAAGTGGGGCGTAACCTCAACACTGACACCTCAACTGACACCGCCTGATGACAGCCAAGACTTTGGGTTCAGGGCAAATAAACCAATAAAATTATTAGAAAAAAAAAAAATTAGTTTCGCTAATAACCACGCCACTGTGCTGTCGTTCATTCTCTAACCAATCATAAGAATCATGCCTCTGAATAATCACGCCTCTCTACATCCATCATTTCGCAATGTTGCCGGATTTTTTTCTATTTCAAAATACTACACATTTTCTGCATACAGTTTTCCATATAAAGATCGATTTGGTTCCCAGTGGGACACCCTGTATAATGGTTATTTATATTACTAGTACGGTATGATATTCATTACAGTAAGAATTAGGGAATATTACAGGAGTGCTGTAATGAGCAGTTCAGGTGCTGTCATCAGCATAAGGTATAATTTTACTTTAAATATTTATAGCTTTTTCAATTAAACAATTTGTAAAAAATTGCCGTTTTTTTAATAGAAAAAAGTTACGCAATAAGCTTATTAAATCACTGCTGATAATGAGCTCATTATATCACAGTACTATAAAAAAAACTTATTACGTCACTCAAAAAGGCTAATATGGGTTATTTAGGTAATAAGCTCTTATAGCTTATAGCAATATAGCACCTTAAAATGTGGATCGTAAAGTCGTAAATGAAAAATATTAGTTTTTCCATGTTCTTCCAATTTGGATGGGATAGTTTGCTCTCGGGCTCGGGACGAATACAGTAAAAGTGCACTCGGGCCGAAAACGGCATTCGTGAACGCACTCCTGTCAGACCAAGACAAAATTTTTTAACCTCACTTTTTCAAAAACAAAAATATCACGTTTTCAGTAGAGTCATCTACATAAATTCAAACATTTTCCATTTCCCCATTAAATTTAAAATGGAAATCGAATCGAACGAGTTTGAAATAAAAGCAGGAGATTTCGCTATAGTTCAAAGACAGGGCTACACAAAGTTACACAAATTGAAACCCCACGGAAACATGCTAATTGGAAAATTCAATGTAGAAATGGACAATGTTATTGGGCAGAGGTATTTCGATACTTTCCAAATGAAAAACTCTCCAGAAAATAAAAAAATGTTCATTTTGGAGAAAGTTGAGGATAGTACTAATGCAACTGATGCTTTGAACATAGAAAAAAGTGGCACTGACAATAGGAATATCACGTCACAGGGAGATACACAATCCCTGACCAAAGAAGACATAGACAAACTGCAAGACTCGGAATTAAACTCAAATGCCATTATATATGAACTGGTAAACAATTCAAAAACGTTTAACATGAAAACTGGCTACTCACAGGAAAAGTACATAAGGAAAAAAGAAAAGAAATATTTTGAATACCTACAATTACGCAAACCCACTATAAGACTCTTGACAAACATGTTTTACAGACAAGACCCAGTAAAAACCTTGGGTATAAGAATAGACGATCTATCACAAATTCTTACATATGCAAATATACACTCAGAAGGCAATCATTTACTCTACGATAGTGGCACGTCAGGCCTTATGATGGCAGCTATAATGAACGCCATCGGTGCTAGAACTAGTGGAACCTTAATTCACATGCATCCGGGCAATCAGTGCCAGAAAAATGCTTTTGTCGCTATGCAGTTTCCTGAAGAACAGAAAGTAAGATGCCTGAATGTAAATTTGTATTCAGTGATACGATGTTTTTATCAAGATACTGCAAAAGAAGAAAATTACGAGCCTACAAGGAAAAGACAAAAAACAGAAGATCCCAGTTCAGCTTCCACTACAAAAGTAGAAGAAGAAGCACCAAAACAACCCCAGTGGCAACTGGAGAACGAAAAAGCCTGTAGAATCTTGAAAACCAAATGTGACTCCCTTGTAGTAACCTCCAAAGAACACCCTGTGAATCTAGTGAAAGAACTTTTGCCATTTTTGAATGGCGGTCGTCAATTGGTAGTGTTTAGTTTAACTCGTGAGCCTTTGCAAGACTTATTTTTGTATTTGAAAAGTAGATTGGACATAGTGGCTATTAAATTAAGTAATAATTTTATGAGGTATTATCAAGTTTTACCTGAAAGGACTCATCCAGAAGTTAATATGAATAGTGGAGGGTTTATATTGTCTGCTGTTAAACTAAATTGTTAATTTATTGAGTAGGTAATTTTTAAAGAAGTATTTAATTTTAATTTTTGTATTGAATAAATATATTGGATAGAAAAATTATTAACTTGCAGAAAACATCCCCATCCTAAATAATTCCATTAAAGTTCAAACACTTACCTGTGCAAAAAATTGTTGCAACATAATCCTATTAGTTTGAGGCACCAACTGTTCCAAATATTCCTGCAAAAATTCATATTGCTTGGCAAGAAACACCAAACTTTCCACACCGACTATTCTTTCAGCTAACCCGTGCAACTTTTCAGGCTTTTGTAAATCCACCATCAGGGACATTGAAGGCTTAAAAATTCGGCCCTCTGGAATTTGGATATGTTGTTCTTGTGGAACAGGCTCAAAAATTAGATTGTCATTGATTTTTCTAAGGGTAATTATTAACTCTTCTGAGTAGAGACTGTTGCCTGATACAGTCTGGAAGAAATTTTGATAATATTATGTACTCAAAAGAATTAAGATTTTTTGCTCTTACCAAATCAGCAGCAAAAAACAGATGCACACAATACAAATAAAAATCAAACAGCTGATTCATACAACTAATTATTTGATAGGAAATTGGTTTCAGCAATCTAGACATTTGCAAATATTTTCCCACTTGCCTAAGTACTGACAAAGTTGTGTTAGTCAATATGGGCGATTTTTGATGATGCACATGTTTTTCCAATTGATGATTTTGTTTTGTACCATCTTCATCTACAAAATCTTTTCTTAATTCCTCAGATTCCTCTTCACTGTCCTCAGAATAATACCCAGAACCTTCATTATCCATAGCCAAAATGTCTTCTTCAATTATTGTTTCATCTAATCCACTGTCAAAAGGTGTTCCATGAAGAGTATACCTTATGAAATAGTTTGCTGTTATATTGCTACCATCTTGTGAATGACATGACGAACAATCAGTAGAATTAGCAGAGTACGCGGGAACTGTAGGGCTTATTTGTGAAGAACTTTTGCAATTTTTCAATGCCGATCTTACAGATTTAAATTCTTGCAGCTGTAAAATATTAAAAGTAGGCTTTACAGGGCATATTTCCCAGATTTCATTTTCCATGAATATTTTTAATTCGTCCATCCTTTGTGCGTGGTAATTTTTAAAATAGCATACACTTTGTTTTCTAATGGATTCTTGTAGATCCTCGGATTTGCTAGAGCAAAATTCTTCTCCCACTTGTATCAATCTATGGACGGTTCTTAAAACTTGCACAAACTGATCAAATTTATAAGTACTTAGGTCAGCGTTTAATAACAAACTTGATACTTTTCTTTGCACATCATCCCATATTTTAACTACATTATGGTCTAGTTTTTGCTTGCTCATACTTAACTCGATATCTGGAAAAAAATTATTCAAATAATTTAACTTTTAAAAGTATTGATACAGCACCCCATGGTTATAGGGTAATTACTAGTTTAGTCAAGTTAGATAAAAATAAGTAAAAATTTTCATATCAGGATGTGGTTTTGATATAAACACAATTTTTTCACAACAGTAGTTTGAAAAATATAGTTTTTACCTGTAGTACAGGTAGTACAAAGATGACAAATACCTAAAACTTGAAAAAGATCTTGGTATGGATAATTGAAAGAGGCTCCAAAGTGCTGGAATGAGAGGTTTTATTACCTTATTGTTGGGAATGAGTTTTAAAGATGAAAACATGAAAAAGGAAACATTGGTAATTTAATTTGCTTTATTTTTAATGATGTTGCATCTCTGGGTTCTCGGAGTTCTAGTGCTCCAAACTTATTACTCGGCCAGGAGCCACACCAGGAAAAGTCAGATCAGAAAACTGATCCTTCAATTAAGGATAAACATTTTTAATCCCCACTTCCTCCTCGATCGGGGTCAGGTCGGTGACATCTAAGAACTGCGATGTTTTCATCACTGTTGCTTAACATCCAATCCCTACCTGTATGAACCAAACATCGTCCTGCTCATGGAACATTGGAGGAAGATTGATGAATTGGTGTCTGTTCCGAATTATGTAGTGCTGGCCATTTATTCTGGGAGGATGTATGATTCTAGTCCATGAATTGTTTTTGAGGCAGACATCAGGCGGTGTCAGTCAATATTCTTCCCTCTATCAAGTTACCACTTGTCAGGCTTTAAGTAATTGTATTTATATTTGATTAGGCTTTGTTTATGACAAATATTTGTTTAGAACAATAAAAGCATATTTTGACTTTGACTTTATTATTATTGATCTGGATCATTGAATCTGGATAGATCATCCATCTGAACGATAGGGGTTTTCATGCGCTTGAAGATATAAAATGATTCCTTTGACAAGGGTATATTTCCTGATATCCTTAAGCATTCAATGGTTGCACCTCTTCATAAAGGGAAAGACTTATTGTTCGTCGATTTTTAACTGATACTTGCGGTATGAAGAGCGAGGGGGTGTTTCATATGGCAAAAACAGGTGTGACGTCAGGTAACCATTGGCGTTTTAATGTAGGGAGCCACCAGCTCACATTCCGTCCGAGTATCAGATTAAAATCGACGAACAATAGACTCTCCATCCAATTTCCGTCCTTTCCTTCCTTCACTTAGTATTGGTAAGCTGATTGAGAAATTAGAATTATTTCATTCCTTAATATAAACAATTTGGCTTCCAGTGTGGAAAGGAACATCTGATGTGATAATCTCCGATATCTATTCGAGTACAGACTTGCATAACTGTCTCCCTGTTGCCAGAAACCGAAGTGTTACCATAAGTCGTTCCTCAACACTAATACAATTTCTCAAGTGTGTATTCTGTCTGGAAATGAACGGGGATATTTTTGAAGCTACAAACTTAAAGGTATCTTCATCTATTCTTAAATATTTGTAGTAACTCCTCAAGTCTTCGCATTGAAATTCTCGAAGTAAGGTATGATGTATCCCTTGTTGATCACGCCTTGTAACCCAAGGCCTCACCCAATGGCGTCGTGTTTTTTTTAAACTTTAACACCAAACACACTGTTATAATAGCACTTATTGCAGCAGCACAATGGAAAAAACGTTGCTCGTCCATTTCACTTTAATGAACTACCAATAGTTTTATCTTATATTTTATATTAATGTAATACAGAAATAAAAATCCATCAAAGACATTTTATCAAATAAATCCTATAAAATATTTTATAAAAGTTCTTTGTCAAAGATCTTTGATAGTGTAATACTGGCCCAAGTACTGGCCTAAGCAAAGAATCTGGTTTGGAAGATTTGGGGGATGTTTTCGATTATGTTAGACAGACAGACAGTTAGAATATAAATTGAAATTCGTCAAAAACCAGTAATAGAAACAGTTTTAGCAGCATCATCGAGAAGGTTGATAAAAACCGAGGAAAGTGAATTTCCAAGTTAATGCAAATAAATGGACAAGAACCTGCCATACAGACAAGTTATTTGTAGATTTAAAGTTCATTTCCATATAACTTATAAGAAGAGAAGGGCATATATGCAAAGTGCATATTTCTTTGAAAACCTGCATATAGTGCATAAAATGTATCAAATTTAGACAAAAGGCGTGTATGAAGGGAAGAATTTTTAAATATTCAACCATTCAGCAGGTACGCAATTACCGGAAAACCTACCGTGAAATATCCTTCAGTGAGCCTTGTTATGGAAATTACACCACTGTTCATACTGGTGATTAAAACCTAATTTAACCCTTAACTACCTACCGGAGTACTCCTAATTTGGAACCTACTTGACTGTAGTGCAATAAATATTTATACTATCGATTCTTCAAGATGTCCATATTCATTTGAAGTTGTGACTTTATGTTTGGGGAAGAGGTTTTCGAAAAATTCAAAATTGTTTAGCAAAAAATATTGGTTACGAATTTATTTCCAAAGTAGCAGACATTTCAATGGGAAATTTTGATAAATCTATTGACACAGATTTAGATCCTAAAATCGAGGCCGGCTTAAAAAACGCACCCATTACGTCAGTTGACTATGTGGAAAGAAGTTTTTTTGTATATTAATATATGCATTTCGATAAAAGGCAGAAAGTTTTGCTGGAAAATTTTCAGGAATATTCAATTGTTTATTGTTTTTACAACTGTTAATGTTATATTTGTAATTAATTAGGTACTTTATTGTATACTTATATACTTATTTACATCATCAGCAATCCAACACTGTTTATTTTTTTTAATTTCTTTATGCATATTTTCAAAAATACTTGCAAATTTTGAATAAAATATATGCATATCTATGCACATATTTCTCGTACTTTTATATGAATATTTGCTCTTCTCTACATGAGGTATTCTACTTAAGTCATTTTTTTGGACGATCCCAGAGGAGCCACTTGGAAAGCAGAGATTTAAGATAAAGGTATTTTGATAGCAACTAAAGTACAGGATAAGGAATAGTTTTTGAATGAGAGAAGCCATATTCAAATGTTTATTAAGCCTGTTCAATGCTGATGTATGTAGTCTGGAATACATTGTAGACATATTGAAGTGTTATGTTAATTATTGTTATAGGATTTTAATTTTTTTTTTTAAAAGATATTGTAATGAAGTTGGATAGGTAAATGCAGTTTTAGATAAATGTAAAGTGAACTTGGGAGCCTGTTGAAATCATTGATTGTTAATTCAACATCTTGGTTTCCTCAAAGGCTTCCATTTTTACCTGATCCAAGCAGATCTTGACTGGACCTAAAAAAGCTGCAATCTCATGAAAATAATTGCATTTCGGAGCGGCTCTGTTTTGAGAATAGGAGTCTAGATACTTGGAGCAGGTCTAGCAGATACAAATGAAAGCCTCAATAGTAGCAAACTCGGTAGCAAATCAATTTTTGATTCTTTTAGTTTAAGTGGTTTCTATGAATATCATTTAAGTATTTACTTCGTTTTTTTTTTCATACCACCCAATATCGTCCTCATTTCAGTTACAGGCGGTCATAACATCTGTGAAAATATCTTCATAACTTTATGATTTACTCACCTAATCCATTCTCACTTTGTCCCTCTTCTTGATTATAGTACCACTTGATAAGCTTGTGGTAGCTGAGGACTATTTTAAATAGGACTTTACATAATTGTGCCAGACATGGAATAAAACAATCTTGAGGAACTGACTGAAATAATAATTAAGTCAGCATTGCAAACAGTGATAAAGATTGTTCTGTTACCTGACATAATGTTTTATAAGGATTTTTGCCACTATTATCTCCAGAATCCATAATCTCGCCAGTAGAAACAAAAGAATTAACAATATTAAACGACGAATTATAAATGGCAGTGATATAATGCACATGAATATTGTCGATCATTGCTACTTGAGATTTTTCTAGCAAATCATATGCAGCTTGCAATTTGCTGTATCTGTCTTTGTCAAAGTGGTAGCACATTTGTGCTAAGATTCTGTCGAATTGTGTGTCTGTGTTTTCTAGGGTCTCTTGTAGTTTATAAGTTAGTGCTGCTACACAACTAAAGTGTCTATATTTTATTGCTATTTTTTGACATGTTTTTAATTCTGTTATCGCTCCAGCATAGTCTTCATCATTTAATAGTTGTTCGCATCTTTTATCAAAGCTATGCTAAATAATAATTTTGATTAGGCCACAAAATACGAAAATAGTTATAAAACACTTACCAAATTTTTGATCATATTAAGATTACCCAGCAATCTCTGAGCCAATTTTCTTTTTCTATAATTGGCCAATATTCCTAGACTAGCTGAAAATTGTCTTCCAGCTATAGCCAACTGTTTTCTACTTTCCCTACAGTCATTTAAAGTATCTTTCACTTGCTCTAAAATATCTTCAATAGTTTTGAACTCCTCATTACATGAATTTTGATGCTCTAAAATTAGTTGTAGGACTTTTTTCGATACAACCGAATGTTGTTGCTTTAGATTTTTAAAGTCTCGTTGAATTTGATCACAGTCTAGTGTGTCAGTGAGTTTCTAAATAAATATGGATCAGTAAACAATAAGATCAGAAATAGTACTTACTGAAAGTTCAAATCTACAAATATCAAAATCATCATTCATTGAAAAATAAGCAGCTTCAATGCTCTCCAAAATATCTTGATCAGCAGGTCTATCACTGTCTTGAGCAGTTTTGCTATTAATAGATAGAGTAGGCATTTGTGGAAAGTGGTAGTTGGAGTCGTCAAAGCCCATTGAAGGTATTTTAGGGGGCTACAAAGTTTTAGAGGATTAAAAACAATACAAATTGAGCCCTAGGAAACTTACCTGTTTGTTAATAAGCCCCAATATTTTTTGCTTGAATTCATCCATTTTGTTAGTCATGGCCACAGCACAAACTGACAAATATTAAAACATATTAATTATGTTTATTTAACTATTATTATTATTTTATTTTGAAAAATAATATTTTTAACAAACACAACACACAACAATCACAACCACAACATTTACCACAAAACGTCTTACGTCACGTCATGAATAGCAGTAATTTTGACAATCAGCTGATGTAGATTTGGTTGCGTTCATAGGAATTAATTTTTTATCCTTGTCTAATGATGAGCAAATGACGGAAACGAAACACATTATCCCGCGAAATTGCAAAGAAAACAAAATCCGGAACTTGCCTAGGACCTGCTTATATCCATCTCTCTCATTCTTTTGAAAATAAATTGATAAGAGAAAGACACAAACCTAACTTGATTAAAAAAAGAACCAAAAAAAAAGAAAAAGTTTATTATGGAATGCAAAGTAAATGCTCCTTGAATTGTTTTATTGGCACGTAGGTATTGTTAAAGTAGATAAAAGTGAATTGTTTGTTGTTATTTATTTGCAGATTACTTGTTGGTTGAATAAAATAAAAGTCAAATTGCCTGGACAGCGTGGCCAGGCGTGGCCTTGATTATTTCTTCAAATTAACGTACGTTTTTGAAAGTTTGCGTTTCCCGCATTTTTGTTCACGATTTTTGCCAATTTCGTTGATAAATTAAAGAACATGAATCCGTGTGTAATTCCAACGCCTTCCCAAGACACTGTTGGAGATGGGAGATGGATGTCGATGGTAAGAAACTTATATTTAAATTTTTTTAAAAATTTAAGCAAAGTCTATTTAATTTAATTCAAGAAAACATTTATTTTTTATTTTCATATATATATATATAGTGAATTTCAAGATTTGTAATTATTTTTTAGAGATTGTTATCAACTTCTAGGGGAAAAGTTTCAATAATAATTGAATTTTGTCTTCATCCAAGGCCTACCTATTAATTATAAATAACCTGGCAACCGCAACCAGTCTGACCCCTACAAATTGAGAGACAACCCAATAATTTAATAAATTACATAATGGCCCTATTACATTGTTTATTTACTGTTTCCAGGTCATATGTATTAAATGAGCACCGAAAATAGCTTCAAATTTAAAAAGAAAAAAAAAATATTGTGAAGTTATCTTTTTTTTTTTGTCTTGCTTGTTATAAGGTTTGTTCCAACACAGCAGGAAACCGTAGGTACACTCTGTGGTACAATGTACCGTCACGGTTCTGCGCAAAACCTTGATGACGTGTTGGGTTGGAACAGACCTTTTCTGATTAGCTACTCAGATATAATAAAATGTACGGCTGAGCTAGCTTGGGAGTGTACAAAATAATTTGAAGTGAGACACCAGTGCTATTTGTGCTTTGCACCTGTTTTGTACCTAGCTAGTTTTTTAAAGACAGTTGTCATAGTTATCACGATATTATTTGTTTGTATCAATTAAAGTTTCTTCATTATTATTTGGGCTTACCTAAATAATTTCTAAACCTTCATTTCCGTTTAATTACATCAGGTTATGGGCCCAGGTATCGTTTAATCATTCGCGAGACCCTCAGAACTTTATATTTGGACAACTTTATAACCATGAATCAGCTCCCGCCGATCGAACACCTTAGAGTAGAGGACGCGATAAAGAACGTAAAAATTACGATACGTGGAAATTCGCGCTACAGACTTATTTGGATCATGAAGATTATGGAATGCAGTTGAAGGTTCAGAGACTGACACAAAAAAGGTGACTAAAGCCCGTTCAAAAATACTGAATACTTTTGGTTGACCCAGTGCACGATATCGATGTGCAGTCATCCAAAACAGCAACAGAAGCTTGAGACAATCTTTTAAAAAAGGTTAACGCGTTTTGTAGGACTTCTGCGTATTCTTATAACAACATTGGAAGTTTGCAGTTCTGTTGAAGAATATGTAAACACGATAATAACTACAGCCAACAAATTATCAGCTATTGTAATGCAGGTCAATGATGAATGGGTAGGCACAATTTTACTTGCTGGTCTACCAGAGTTCTATTATCAGAGGGATAGAGAGCTCAGGCACTGCAGTAACAGGTGACTCAATAAGAACAAAACTCTTGCGGAAAACGCGTGGGTGCAGTACATAGTGCAAACAGATTGATTTATTGTGACTCGCGTATGGAAAAAGGTGAGGTTAGCAACGCCGGCAGCAAGATGAACAAAAAAGACAAAGGACCTAAAAGAAGTACTTGGAAAAATGTCCATCCAACATCTCGATCCTTTTAAAGATAAAATATAAAAGGAATTCAGGGAATTAAAGGATTCGGTAGGTAGGTACAGTTTATGTCAAATATTTTTGAAGAATAGCGGAAAAAGATCGATGATATCGGATATCGGGTCTTCAAAAAAAAAAAAAACAATCAAAGATTGCTATGGTTTTTTAAACGTATGTCTTAGCAATATTTTTTTAAATTTTGTCATTGAACTTTAATGTCAAAATGTCAACTCAAAAATCCTGACCAATAAAGAAAAAATAATGCGACGTACGTTTTCGTATTCAAAGCAATCTTTGATTGTTTTTTTTTGAAGACCCGATATGATAGGCGAGATGAAGACAATAAAAAAAGAAAACGAAGAGGTAAAGGGTAGAGTTGCAGACATGGAAGATGGACTGAACGAATTAGAACAAATAGAAAAAAAAAGCAATTTGCTAGTGGTAGGAATACCTAAGCAAAATGAAGAGGCAAGAGAAAGCTTGAGAAAAGTATTTACAGCTATGAAAGTGACTATGCAAGATGAAGATATCAAGGAAATTTACAGAATAAATTCCAAAGAAGATGCTCCTGTAATGTTGAAATTGGAAACCCATGAAATTAGAAGTACAATATTTAAGAAAATTAAAGAGTTGAAAGGAAAGTACTAAAGAAAAAGAGAAATATAAATAAAAAACGAGAAAAACTTGACCGTCTAAGACACTGAAAGAAGTATTTTTAACATAGGCTCAAAGGAAATACCAGAAATAACAGACTCTGGAATAAGAATGGCACTCAGCCAATTTAAAAACAATAAATAGGCAGGAGAGGACAGAATTAAAGTAAAGATGCTGAAAACTAGCGGCAGAATAGTATAGAACAAATATTGAAGATTCTATTTAATAAAATAATTCACGAAGGAAAGATTCCACGAGATTGGTATGACTAAGAAATTATCTTAATATTCAACAAGGAAGAAAATTATACAAATATTGAAAACTACCGACCAGTATCTCGACATCTCGACATCTACCAACCTGTCAAACAGGCTAGATTCAAAAAACATAAGAACACTAATAGAGAATTGCACCGAGTATAACGTACCACTCCATGTTTCCTTTGTAGATTTTAGGAAAGCATTCGACTCCGTCTAAATATGGGCAGTGTTAGCATAGGCGCCGAAACCATAGGGGTAATGGGGGCTTGTATGTAGTGGGTGTAGTGAGTAGGTACAAAAATAGTGAGTTCCTGATCCTAACTATTTATTTTTATGTCAAACTTGTGTGTTTTATGTTTTTGTTGTTTATGCTATACCGACTTTAATGGACAGTTTGAATATTTTTCTGTTTAGTATAGCATAGTAAATTTTAGGGGCCTTCATATAAAACGCTTAGATGACAGATACCCATTACCTAACATATAGGATCTCTTGAACAAGCTGGGACGCTGCCAGTATTTCACCACCTTAGATTTAGCTAGCGGCTTCCACCAGATCCAAATGCATGGAAACGACATCGAAAAAACCGCATTCAGCACAGAAAACGGGCATTATGAATTCTTGCGCATGCCATTTGGTTTTAAGGACACGCCGGTTACATTCCAAAGAGTTATGGATGATATTCTATATCCCAATATATTGAGGAACTTTAACACCGAAAGATATTACATTGCATTGATAATAGTTATTCATTATACAAGGGAAAAAACGATTAGATTTTAGAGCGAGATGTGGTTTGCCTCCCGTCGCGAAGCGGAGGGAGACAACAACAAGGTGGTCAAAGAGCGCTGGGAATGCTGGAGGTGGAATAGGGGAAATCGTTATCTTTCGTTCTCTATTCAACCTTAGAGTTTTTATAGACATTTCATTCTATTGCATTAAAATTGGCCTGTTGTTATGACCTGTCAAACCTGTATATATAGTTTATTTTTTCCCAAGATAGATTTTGGCATTGTCAATTTTGAAACATAAACAATGCCGCTAAAGCCGCTTATTGGTCGCTATTGTAAAACTGATGTCAACCTGCAGAAACACCTCATTTTGCGACCAATCAGGGTCAAGCGTTATTGTTTATGTTTCAAAGTTTTCAATGTCAAAATCTATCTTGGGAAAAAATAAAGTGTAGGTAGTTCATTTTTTGGCTATGAAGTTTGTTTCGTGCCATAAGTTGAGTTTTTTCTTCAATTTGTTTTGAATGGAAGCGAGGCATCATAGCGAGCGAGTGTGTTGATTTTAGTCCATTTGCTGAGGAGATCTGTATATCAAAATTGTCTACTACTGTTTGAATCAGACAGACAATGGGGCTTCAAGCTTTTTGCAAACCGTAGTTCAAAGTTTGCTGATTGCATTTTACGGCAAACTGTAGTTGCTACTGAGGATTTGTACCTCATTACTTCGTCATGGCTACAACAAATTCCAAAGCCATACAGAAAATCAATAAGTTGTCCTAATGAATAGACGTGATGAAGTGTTACCAAGAGACACTTGTAGTTATATACGTTTTTTTAATAAGTCGTTAGATTATTTCCCTTCCGTTTGCATGATGTACCAATACATTGGCCTTTTCAACGGCGCCCGCAGAATTTGTCACAGGGGGGGGGGCAAATAAACTGCTCTTGGGGGAATCGTGGAAAGCGCACCGCAGGCGGATTTTTTTTTTTTTGGGCCACACCCAAATTTTGCTAATTGTAACTAATATAATAAACATTAAAAAATAAAACAATTTGGAAATACTTTTATTTCGGACGGGAAAGAAAGTTAATTCTCTGTATCTTTTGATAGGTGCACAAATTACTTTTTTCTCCAAACGTCAGAAAAACGTCACTTTGTTAACTCCTGTCAAGATGTCAGAAATTTGATTTCTATGCTGCTAGGCAAATCAAGCGTGTTAACACCTGTCGAGGTGATAGAAATTCAATTTCTATGCTGCTTGGCAACCCCAGCGGCAGCAAAAGTACTTTTAGTGCCGCTGGAGCGGCAGTAGAAGTACTTTTGGTGCCGCTCGTACTTTTACTGCCGCTCAACCATCCACTTGCCCCCGAGCTTACCCCATTCGTTTGGAGAAAAAATAGTGTGTTGCATACGGAGTAGAAGCACTTTTTTGTGCTTCAGCAGTATTGCAAGCCTCACTACGTTCGGCTTGCAAACCTACCGCTTCAGCAAAAAAAAGTAAAGCTTACAACAATATACTATTCCTTGTGGGAAAAAAATTTAAAAAAATTGTAATCAAAACTAAAACAACACAACGTAAATGAAATATTCCAAATTAAACGAAAAATATATTTTTCCGACTAGGTAAATGCAAATTGCATTCTTCTTGAGTCTCTCCCAAAACTTCTTCATTAAAATCTTTATTAACCAATTCATTCATTAATGATCGATGAATTCAAATGAAATCAAAGAAAATAAAAATGGAAATACCTAATTATTTTATTTTTATTTATTTTTTTCTCTTTTATTTTTAAGTATTTATATTAAAAGCCAGGGGGGGGCAGATGCCCCCCCTGCCCCCCCCCCCCTCCGGGCGCCCATGGGCCTTTTTACCTAGTTTATGATGGAAAATGTATATACAGACTGGACAAACCTTCTAGACACATAGGGAGTAATAAGTCGAATTGGCTTGTAGCCGGTCAAGGCGAATCGAATCGGCATTTGCCCCCTTACCCCAAAGGCCTTCAAATTTCATTAATATGTAATTCAAAATGGAAAATAATCAAATACGTACATTATATTATATGTAACGTTCTACTAGAAATTCTCATCAAAATTTTGTTGAAATAGCCGCAAAAAGACTCAAAAATTTCGCGGCTGCGGCGCTTCTCTTCCTGCAGCGCTTGCGGCAAAGCTACCACTGCTGCAAGAATCACTTCCTGCAAATTTGCCCCTTCCCCAAGACAAAATTCTGACTACGCCAATGGTGCTGTCGAAGCCGAGTATACCCGAGCTGCCGAAGATGCACGAATTTCAATAATATGAAGGAACCTGCAGGGACGATCAAAGATCCAGCGTGGCGATCCTGCAGTGAAATGGGTATCTGTCAACTAGTCCCATTTAAGTCTATGTGTCTAGTAGCCTAGTCCTGTCTGTCTAATTATTTCTTATGTTAATTTTTTGAGCCCAAGCCCCCATGGTAATTTTGAAATTCCGGCGCCTATGAGTGTTAGATTCCTTAGAAAACGCAAGAATCGATTCAAGATACACGAACATCATAAAAAAACATATACGAAAATGCAACCGTAAAAGTAAAGCTGGACAACAAGACAAAAAAGAACCTCATAAAACTACAAAGGGGAAAGGACAAAGAGAAACTATCTCGCCCAAACTATTCACATTCGTTTTTGTCCTAGAAGAACATTTTTAAGGAACTAAAATGGGTCATCAAAGGTATAGGTACATACATCGAGGGTGAATACTTAAACCATCTCAGATTTGCTCTTGACATAATCTTAATAGCAAATACCTAATCTCCAAGAATTGAACTAAATCCTACAACAATTAAATGACTTATCCGCAACTATGTAAGCTTCAAAATGAACTACAACAATACAAAAATAATGAGCCATTAACAGACAAATATGAAAATACAAATACAAAACCAGATGATAGAAAACGTTGGACATATGTATACTTGGGTCATGACATCAGACTACTTAGGGAAATCAAACCAGGGTGCTGAAATAAAAATAAAAACAAAGCTAACATGGGCCGCCATTCTCATAAACCTCAAAAGAAAAGTATACGACATGCATTACCAGTGTGTACAGGGTATTTCCTTATATTTTGACCTCTACCTACAGCTTTAGCTATATGAGGTGGAAAAAAACTTTAAATATGAAAGTTGTAGCACGTTGTAGGGTTTTATGTCTATTATCTTTTGAGAATATCAAAATGGGCAAATGACAGGTGCCAACTGTCACAATGACAAACACTTGCATTTATCAAATGGAACAACCTGTATATTTTTGACTAGAATGATAGTTTTTTTTTCTTCTGATTTCAAATATACCATTTATATTGATATTTGGTTCAGTTGTTTTTATGCTATTCAATTTTAAAATTGCATTGAGCTAGCCTCATCATTGATATAAGAAACCAGGACAGATTAAATTGAGGGTAATGCAAATGCATTTTTAAACTTAAATAGCGTAAAAACAACTGAACCAAATATCAACATATATGGTATATTTGGAATCAGAAGAGAAAAATCTATCATTCTAGCCAAAAATATATAGGGTGTTTCATTTGAAAAATGCAAGTGTGTCATTGTTACAGTTGGCACCTGTCATTTGCTCATTTTGACATTCGCAAAAGATAATAGACATAAAACCCTACAACTTTCATATTGAAAGTTTTTTTCCACCCCGTATAGCTAAAGGTGTAGGAAGGGGTCAAAATATGAGGAAATACCCTGTACCTACGGATTGAAGAACAACAAAAAATTAGAAACAACCCAAAGAGCGATGGAAAGAAACATGCTTGGAATATCACTAAGAAAAAAAAATTAGAAACACCGAGATAAGACGTAAATCGAAATTAAGCAGAGATGAAATGGCGATGGGCTGGGCACATAGCCTGATACGATGACAACAGATGGACACGAAGAATCCTGGGATGGAGACAACAAAAACCATGAGAATTGAGAAGAACTCAAAAAAGATAGGTGGAAGACATTAGGACAATGGCAGGCAAGTAGTGGATGAGATTGGCAAAAAATTGAGAAAGATGGAAACAATTAGGAGAGACCTACATCCAGGAGTGGATGGACAAAGGTTGACCAAGAAGAAATGAATAAGAAAAACGGATAAGTTCTGTGCGGAGGATAAGCAAACTCAAAACGTAATTTTGGTGCGTATTGTACTGACTCCTTAGCTCCAATTCGCATCACTTTCTAAAAACTAAGGTTTGGTTCCACACAATTATTTTATGGCCCTTTCCGAACTAAGAACACACAGAAGCAAATTCCGTATTGAAGATGAGACTCAATGGCAATGGAGAAGTACATGTTATCAGCTATAATAACTCGCAGGGCATAGCATTCATCAGACGAAATATTGTTGCATACTTTTGCAATATGTGTAGTTTTCAAATTCAAGGGACCTGTTTATTGACAGATCTATACCATTTCCAAATCCAAGCGGCAGTAAATAACATTAAATAACCTAAATTGTAAACGAACACCAGCCTTCCCATTGGTTGAAACGCCCTACCTGGACCAATGCGCATGCACGGAGGACATTTGATAGGTTGTAATGGAAATGACCAGTTTGTCATTTACTGCCGCTTGGATTTGGTTCAACCATAGGTTTATTGAATTTTGGCATTTTGACGGATTCTTTTCTCAAATAAATATCTTCAGGAGCATAATATAACCAAAAAGCAACACTCATCTGGACTAGATGAATTGTTATTAAAATTTTCAGACATTGTTCTGCTTCAGGAAATTTTTTGGCAGCCTAAAATACGCAATGTTCCTTCTCATTTTTGAAGGAGGTGAAATTTGACATTTATGTAAGTGTAGAAAAGTTGTTACTGTTTGTGAAGTGAGTTTTAATGAACCCGGAATTTGTGACTATATAATTATTAAAAAAAAAGAAAAGATTTGGAAGTTGAAAGACGAAAAGCCTTCGAGAAACTTTCACAGATTTAGTTTTATACTCAAACAATAATTCAATCCAAATTGGTCCATTCAATTTTTTCGTATATATCATTATCAAATAAAGAAACAATTTTGACCGATTATTTGCCTGGTACAAACAAGATAAAGATAAGTATTAAGTAGGTACTTTCAAAAATATTTTCTACATAAAGTGATAACAAATTGATTTTTACACAAAATGAGAGCAACAAGTTGTATAACCATCCTCCTGCTATTATTAGCCCTGGCCCGTGGAGGCATTTTACCAGTGAAACCATCGGAAACCCGAGATGTAATAAACCTGGATGGACTCTGGTACTTTACCACCGATGCTAATTTTGTAGAAAACATTGAAGAGGCTGACGATTTGGGTCAAGGCTTGAACTTGATGCCAGTACCATCCAGCTACAACGATATAGCTACCAGTTTAATCTTGAGAGACCATGTTGGTTCTGTTTGGTACAAAAAATACTTTTTTGTGCCCGGTTCTTGGAGCAGCAAAAGAGTTTGGATCAGGTTCGGATCTGTTTGCTATAACGCTAGTGTGATAATTAATGGTGCTTCAGTAGTCAATCATTCAGTTGGCCATCTACCATTTGCAACTGAAATCAGCCGACATTTGAATTACGACATTGAAAATAACGTTTTAGTTGAAGTTAACAATATTTTGGATCGTTATACTATTCCTCAGGGTTACGTCGACCAAGTTGGAGGTGGTAAGTTGCATCAGTTCGTCAAATTCGACTTTTTTAATTACGCTGGCATCGACAGACCAGTCTACCTCTACACTACAAATGACGCTTACATCGACGATATCAATATCGATATTAAATTGAACGGCACCACAGGTTTGGTCACTTATAGTACTGAAATTGTTAATCCGAAGGGCCTGAAGCAACAAATCAATATTTTGGATAAAAATGGTCATCTGGTTGCTGTCGGTAGTGGAAAATCTGGAACTTTAGAGGTCGAAAATGCGAAGTTGTGGTGGCCTTATTTGATGCGGCCAGATCCTGGATACTTGTATACTTTTGAGGTAATCCTGAAACAAAATGACACTCTAATCGATCACTACAAGCAACGATTCGGAATAAGATCGCTGTACTACGACAACGACACATTCACGATTAACAACGAAAATATCTACATAAGAGGTTTCGGCAGGCACGAAGACTCCGACATACGAGGCAAGGGCCTCGATTTGCCCCTAATTATCCGCGATCATCATTTAATCAAATGGATCGGCGCTAATTGCTACAGAACCTCGCATTACCCGTACGCCGAAGAAATTATGGATTTGGCCGACGAATTAGGAATTATGATTATTGACGAAGTACCTTCAGTGGTTACTGCGAATTTTTCAAAGACTCTTTTAAGCAATCACAAACAGGCCTGGTCGGAAATGTATCAGAGAGACAAAAACAGGCCTTCGGTAATTATGTGGTCCATTGCAAATGAGCCCAGAGTAACAATTCCTGCCTCAGGTGATTACTTCAAGCAAGTGGTTCAGCATGTCAAAACTTTTGACACTTCTAGGCCGATTACTTTGGCCAACATGTACAGTTATGACATTGAATATTCTGGTAAATATTTGGATATTATTGGAGTAAATCGTTATGAGGCTTGGTACGTGAACCCCGGCCAAATCGATGGCATCGTGCCTAGAATCAAAAGTTTGATAACAGGCTGGAGGAATTTACACAACAAGCCCGTACTTTTTACTGAATATGGCGCAGATGTAGAAGAAGGCCTGTCTACATTACCCTCTTTTATTTGGACAGAAGAATACGGCAACGACTTGATAACAGAATACTTCAAAGCTTTTGACCAACTAAGAAGTCAGCCCTGGTTTGTCGGCGAAATGATATGGAATTTTGCCGACTTCAAAACCGACACCGACATAAGACGAGTGGGAGGTAACAAAAAAGGGCTTTTTACTCGAAACAGGCAGCCCAAAGCTGCGGCATTTGTCGTCAGAAAAAGGTACTGGGCTTTAGCCCATCAACTCTACAACGCCACGTTGCCCAAGGACTTGGAGCTGTACATAAGCGACTCTTACAACCACAACAATAATAATTATAAAGACGAACTTTAATGTAAAATAAGTGTCAACTTTTACGTTTACCTGAAGAAATGTTTGTGTTACCAAGTTTTTTTTTATAGAAATTGTATAAATACTTTTGATGTGATTTATGTCCCTTAATTCACATATTGATATTTATAATAGGTTTGCTTTAATTACAATAAAGATTTTTCTGATTTGATTTGATCTTTTCTGACTGGATGGACTTATAATCAATATGAGTAATAATATGTCCAAAAGTATCTTATCTTTTTCAGCACAACAGATTTGTTCAGCAAGCCAAAAACAGTGAACCCGAAGTCGTTCTGATTGGTGACAGCATAATTCAACAGCTCCAGTTCAGCTCTTTATGGACTGAAAAAATTAGCTCCTTGCATTGTATCAATTTCGGAATAGGCGGAGATAGGTAAGAGACTTTAAGCCTAAACGGAAACATAAAAACTTCTTATAATTTCGAATTACCATTAATCCGTTAGTACCATAATACCTCCATTGAATTGTTTATTTTTCAAATATAACTATTATATACCAATTATATTTTCGATTCAGAAACTTGTATTTTAAAAAACATTTATTTTATTGATTAAAATACAGAGGTGACAAAAGAAAATATGTGGATCAAATTGCTACAGCAAAAGCCTGAAAACAAATGAACGTTCATTATGGGACTGCGCTGGCTTAAATAAGAATTTAATGCCAATATAGCAATTTGATGTTTACTTTACAACAATGTATTTAAAAAGTCATAGAGGAAAGGGGTAAGCACATCAAAGCATATAAAAAATGGATATTTGATTATAAATCAGCGTGGCAATTGGTTATAATAACTCCTCCCTCCTTAAGATGTTGCAAACGTGGATTGTTGTGAATTCAAATCAGACAATTCAATTTGCACATTTGCACAACCTTTTTCTGAAGTTTTATATTTCCTAAAACAGTAAAACAGTAAAATTAAAAATAAAATAGCAAGACTTAAACCTATGATTACATATGTGTTTAAATAAGAGTGTTCAAAAGACAATTCTTTTAGATTATGAACTCTTATTTGTTTTGTCGTCTTGAAGGCTTCTTCTAAGTCTTCTTGGTTGATTTCTTGAAGTTCCAATGTTGTTTCGTTCTCTGGAAGTTCAGGGATATCTATTCTTGGAATATTCAGTTCAAAATTGAAGTTCTCCCTAGTTTTTGAAAATGTTTGATTTTGTATTTTCACAAAGCATTTTTCAAAAGAAACTAGCGTTGGATTGGTTATAATTTCCATATGGTTTGTCTTGGCACATTGAATAACTATTGTCAGGCTTTTCTTAGGGATGACTAATAGTTGTCCATTCGGGAGTTGTCTCACTGTTGGTTTCTCATATTTCACTTTAGTGAAAGGACATTGTTGTGGTAGATCAGTAATCAGGTCATAGACACATGATTCTTCTTGCTTCAGCTCTTCTTGGTTACAAAGGTACACATTTTCGACTTTCGGGCATTCCCATGAAGTATTGTAGTAAATGTCCGTAGTAAGTAATAGGTAAGGGTACTTATTCCTAATGGTAAGTTCTTGGATAGGAATTGGATAGATTTTATACAATATAAAGGGCTTGGGATCAATCATTGGTGTGTGTATAACAAATATAATTAACTCATTTTGGATTTTTACTTGAGTTTTCATTGTCTCGTAATACTTGATTTAATTATCAAAAGGTATTTGCTGACTTTTGGGTATATTTGTTGATATTTGATTTAATTCAATATGCTGTAAAATAGTATAATGGATTAATCCCAATTGTGTAAAATGTATTGCTAATTGCACATGATCAATTAGATTCCTTATTTTATTACTTTGAATATTGATATTGTTCAATATTAGATTAAAGGTTAACATTGAGAGAAAATTTTGGTTTTCCAAGGAAATATTTTGTAATTTTCCTGTAATAACCTTTTGGTTATATTCAAAAGTTGAAAATTGATCGTGAAATGTTTTTGTAACTTGTTTCAATACTTGAACTTGTGTTTTTAGATCTTCATTGAGAGTCTTTTGATTATCATTGAGCGTCTAGATATAGGAATCATGTCTTGCGCCGTCTTCAGCATCTAGAATTTCGTGAGCCATTTTTGTGCTGTGCCCGTGAAATTTAGTAGGCCTCTTTTGTTTCGTTTTCGGTCTTGATAGGTTTTTATGACTTGTTTCATAACCTTAATTTGAGAATGACTGTTTTCAATTCAATATTTGTTTGAAACAGTGCATCAAATTGGTTTGACCATGTTGTTTTGTTTAGAGTGTCAGATAATTTCATTAGAGTAATTTCCAGTTTATGGATACTTTGTATGATAATTGTTGTGTTTATGTGATAATAGGCCGTGTTATGTTGAGTTGTTACGTAAGTAGTTCCTAAGGAAATTGGTAAGATAGGATTTTCTACCGAATAAATTATTGTCGTTTAACATTTTGTGTAGCAAAGCGATTCTGTGTTTTGCTATCATACGGACTTATCTTGTCTCTATTAAATTGTTTTACGAAGATTGGATCTTGTAATTCTGGTTCGGGTTCACGATTTTTATTGCGTGATTCTAAAGACTTTGTTTGTTTCGCTAATAATTTTTCTTGAATTTCTTTATTCAAATTTGCAAGGGACTCTGCCAAACTTGATATATAGTCAGTTATTAGTTTATTTTCTGTTTGTTCGATTGGTATAGCATAATTCAATTCTCTTTTAATCACTTAAAAAGGGGTGTGATTCATTGTACTATGAGTACTGTTGATATAATTCAATATAGCGATTCTCATTAGATCAATAATACTCTTATTCGGGTTTTGGAGTTTTAAACTCGTTATACTTTCACGTAGTGTCGAATGGAATTTTTCGATTGGACTATTCGAGTTCGGGTTTCTTGGAGTTATATAATGGAACTCAATTTTGTATAATGTACAAAAATCTGTCATTATAGCATTATTGAACTCTGCTCCATTATCTGATGTGATTTTTTTGAGGTATTCAATGATCACTAAAATATTTCAATAACAGCTGTTTTCGTATTTACAGGAGAGGCTTGACCAAATTTTGAAAAGCCATCAATATTGGTCAGAAATTTCTGGTTATTGATTTTATGCGTGTCAATATAAATATGTTCAAAAGGTTTCGTACCAATGGGTGTTGGTTTGAATATGTTTTTGTATGGTTGTCGTTCATACTTGGTTTTATTGCATATCTCGCATACTTTGACATAATTCTGTACGTCTTTCTTGATATTGGGCCAATAGAATCTTTTCTTTAAGGCTGCAACATTTTCAGTGATTCCTCTATGAGAGGTTTTTAGTCTCATGATATTGCTGAATTTTCTCTTGTTGAAGATCAACTTCTGTGATGTCTTCTAATAAAGAGTTCGAGATATACAAAGTAAATGAATTAGAATTAAATGATTCTTGTAATGCTCGTATCACAATAGGTTCTAAAGATTTATTTAGGAAATGAAGGCAATAAATACTAGGTGGCATGTATTTCTTTACTAAATTAGTAATTTGCGATGTTGGATTATTTGGTAAGAAAAATATTATTCTCTTTTATTACCAAATAGTTTGATTATCTCTTTCCTAATTGTGTTATTATTGGAATATCGAAATACAATATGATTTCCAAATATATTTACATGTTTCTTAGTACATGGAGCTCCTAATATTGGATTTTCCATAGACGTATGTATTGTTTGGTCATTTTCAGACAAGGCTGAAATTGTTTGTTCGTCATCCGAGGGTGTTTTTTGTCTTCTACTTCTTTGAGTTTTTGAAGATTCTCCTATTTCGATAGAAATTTCTTTCTTCTCTTGTCTTGGAGGTATTATTAGTTGGGATAATACTTTTATTTTAAGTCTTTCTTTCTTAGGTTTCTCTTCAGGTTCTCTTTCTGATGCTGTCTTTGTTGATTGAGATGATTCAGACATTGTTATCTCTTTTTCTTTAGCTTTCTCGCTTTGTTTAGGAAGATATACTTTAGAGTCTGTAAAGTATTTTGCTATGATTTCATCATTATATAATGGTGTATCTTTCAGCATTACTCCTAATTTTTTGTGAATTTCTTCATCTGAAGATGTTAATCTGGCATCTGGATCTGATTTTTGAATAGCATGAAGATCTATTGTAGGAATTCTTGATAGTGCGTCTGCATTCATGGTTAATGTTCCTTTTTTGTATTTGATTTCATAATCAAATTCGGATAATTTTAGTCGCCATCTGACTAATTTAGAACTTGATTCTTTAACATTAAATAGCCATTGTAGAGGTTTCTGATCTGACAAAATTGTGAATTTTCTACCAAAAAGATAAGGTCGAAAATATTTTGTTGCCCAAACTCCAAACGATTGCTAAAAGTTCTTTTCCAATCGTCGAATAATGACATTCAGCTGGGTTCAAGATTCTAGACGCATATGTAATGGGAAGATCAGCTCCGACAGGACCTTGAGATAAGACAGCTCCAATTGCATAGTTTGAGGCATCGGTTATCAATAAGAAAGGTTTCTTAAAGTCAGGATGTTGTAATATAGGGCGGATTAAGCCTTTTTTCGCCCCTGGACAATTAAGTAAAATTATTTCGCCCCCTTTCAGACCCTGGCCTATATCATGATTTTTTATTTTGTCATTTGAAGATTCTACAATACAAAAAAGACAAATAATTAGTATATTGAATTAAAAATGACATGAGACAAGTTGATTAGTGCCAAGTCTGAAGTCACTTGTCTTTTCATCTGAAAGTGAGTTTCAAAAGCCGCTTTCCAGCTGACATTGTTTGTGCTTCAAGCACGGTGCAGCACAGTGTTCTGTTGAAACGCAAAAATTATCAGCTCTCGAAGCGCAGTACGGCTGGAACACGAACACGCGCTTGAAACATTTGCGCGCGCAAAAGCTCGATTGCGTGCGCAACGTGGTCAGCTGGAAAGCGGCTTAAGATAGTCTTTATTCCTATTAGGTTTGAAAAGGACCTCTAACCAGACGCGTTAGTCGACGGAAGGCAAAGATACATTATCAATGGTACCTCGATATTGGGAAATGTCGAGATTAGTTTTTCAGACTTTAAACTTTGTGGAAGTTATCCAAAATTTAGGGTGCCATCGTGACCACTAGAAATCAGAAAATATTTATAGTGAAGACATTCCTGAGGAAAATAATCGACCAGATCGTTTTTATATGTTTCCTTAAGTCGCTGCGCTTTTGTTCTTATTTCTTCGTCAGATCATCATGACCAAATACAAAAGTCCAGTTCCAAGGTCAAGATTTTGTCATATTATGGCCGCGTTCGTTTTTGCCATAATTTTCATCGATTTGCTCCGAAACTTTGACAGGCACGTGACTGGATCAGACAGTTTCAATTTACAGATCACGTGCCTATGAAAATTTCGGAGCAAATCGTCGAAAAAGATGACAAAAAC